ATTTTCTTCATGAAAAGATGAAAATAATCTAAAGGAATTTATTATCACCTACAACAGTAAGGAGGAGTCTTACCACACAAGATCAGCAACAGTCAGAATGTACAAAGTTAAATAATACTAATTAAAACAGGAATTGTATCAGGCAGTGTGTCTGCACTGAAACAGGAGTGACTTTCTTTACACCGTGGCTCTAAAGAGGTGTTTCCTAGCGCACACAATCACTAAACCACGTCTCAGGTAGACTCCTGTCTAGGAAGCGATGTCACCAGCAGCGGCCCCAGCAGCGGCCCCGCTCTCCAAACGGAGCTTCAGGTGGTCCCTGGCCTCCCCCGAGCAGGGCGCCCCCGAGCTCGAGCACCAGCGCCGCACGGGGCCTTGTCGGCAGAGGGCAGGTACAGGCCGAAGGCCCAGCCTACACCTCCGCGCCCGGCCCAAGGGCGGCCGGAGGGTCCCAGAGCCGCGCCAGAGCCGGAAGGACGCGGCGCGCACCAACCGCCGCCAGCACCACCCCCCCCCCCCCCGGCCCGTTCCCCTCCGCTCCGCGCGTCCGTCGTTCCCTACCCCCTTCTCTTCCCCCCCCCAACCCCCCGCGCACGCGCCACCGCCCGCCGCGCGCACGTGCGCCCGCAGGTGCACGGCGGCGCCCCCACCCCCCCCCCCTTCCCGCTGGTCCCGCCGTTCACCCCCGCGCCCTCCCTCCGCCGTGTGTTGGGGGGTCCCGGAGGCCGCCCCGGTCAGAGCGGGAAGGGGGGGGGCGGCTCCTACGGCGCTACATCGGGGCGCATCCGGCGGGCAGGGCGGGGAAGGGCCCTGTCTCTTTAAGAAGAGGCCCGGCTGCCACGGCCGCTGCTTGGCGGAGAGAGGGGGGGTGGGGGGTGTGGTGGGTGTGAAGCCGCGGCCTTGCCCCGGCGGGGCCCCGCTACCGCCTCTCGTCGCCCCGTCCCGGCGTGTCCTCGCCCGATCGCCCCGGTGGCTTACCTGTGTGGCGGGCTCGGCTGCGGCGCGGCGGCGGCGGCGGGGGGCTGGGGGTGTCTCCTGGGCTCGCTCCCCCGCTCGCTCCACCCGGCCTTTCGCCCCGCGTTGTCGGGGCTGGCGTTGCCTGTGTGCTGCCGCGACGCGCTCTCGACTCCTGCCTCGCCAAGATGGCGCCCGCGCTGCTGCTGAGGAGGAGGCGGCGGCTGCGGGCGCTGGGACGGCGGCGGCGGCCACTTTCGCTCACTGAGAGGAGAGGAGCAGGGACACGGGGAGCCATGGCGGGGGGGAGGAGAGGCGCCATGCCCAGGCCTGAACAATCGAGCCCCGCATACCTCCCCGCCACCCTGGCCCCGAGCGTGGTCCCCGTCGCTCCGCTCGCCTCGCCGCAGCCGCCGCACGGGTCCCATGCCCGCACTGTGGGCAACATCCCTAAACGCAGTCCGCGGGGGGCCCTCTCCCATCGATGCGCTCCTGAGATCGATTGGTAGAGTCTGGCAGTGACGGAAATTGCCGAAGAGACTCGGCCGAAGCGGCCGGGTGAGCTAGCGAGTCTCGCGCGAGGCGGGGTGGGCTCTCGCGATGCAGGGGGATGTGTACCGGAAGCGATGCGCTCTCGCCCTTGAGGCGCCGGAAGGGCGGTGGGGCGCGTAGGGAGAGCGGCGGGCATGGTGGTCTCTCAGCAACCTGTCTGGGGCCGTTTCCTGGGGCTCACCGCTCCCCGCCGCTGCAGGACGGTCACCGGGGACTCAGCCCCGCGGGGGCAGGCCGGGAGCTGCCCACTTTCCTCGGCCGGGAGCGTGAGGGGCAGGAGGTGGCATGTGCCCGGCCGCCACCGCGCCTGAGGGACAGGGTTGAGGCGCGGTCGGCCCTGGGGACCGTAGAATCCTGGAATCAGCCAGTTTGGGAAGGGCTTTTAAAACCCATCAAGTCCAGCCATTTACCCCAGCACTGCCAAGGGCACCGTTATTAACCGATGGCACTGAAGGCCTCATATACATGGGTTTTGAACACTTCCAGGGGCGGTGACTCCACCACTGCCCTGGGCAGCCTGTTCCAATGCCTGGCCACCTTTTGGGTGAGAAACTACCTCATTTCCAGTTTAAATTTCCCCTGGTAGCAGCTTGAGGCTGTTTCCTCTTGTCCTATCAGTTGTTAATTGGGAGAAGAGACCAACCCCCACCTCCCTACAACCTCCCATCAGGCAGTTGTAGAGAGAGATGAGGTTGCCCTGAGCCTTCTCCAGCCTAACACACCACCCCCCCAACCCCCCACCCGATTCAGTCATTCCTCTTCAGGCTGGTGCTCCAGACCCTTCTCTGGACCCATTCCACCACCTCATTATGTCTTGTAGGAGTAGGGCACAACCATGGTTAACGTTACCATGGGCAGAAAAGGGGATACGTGGTGGAGGGAAGCTCATTTTACCACATGCCCTTTGCCATGCATGAACAATTGCGTCAGAGGAGCCTGGAACAAAATAGGCCTGAAAGTGAACTGTGAGGACACTTTGTGCTTACATGGCAGTGGGGCTAGTTGGTGTGGAACACAACTGCCTCCCCAACCCCAGCCAGTAGTGCACTTGAAGTAAATCATTAAATGAATGATTAAGCCAGATCACTTACTGCCTGAAGACAGAAATTTCTACTTTGTGACTAAGCTGTGTGTCATCCCAGCACAAACAGTAGCTACTAGATACCAGAAAACAAAAATAACGCTTATAATAATGTTAATTGCCCCAGCAAAGCCTCACTACAGAGTTGTACTTAACTAGTTGTGGTACTTACATCCCTAACTACAACCAGCAGTTAGATTGATCAGAAATGTACACGATTTTGTCACATTATGAACAAACTCAAACTGAATACTAGCACTGAGAAGCATGAGAAGGTCTTATGGAGTATTACAAAATAAAACAAGAACTAAAACCAGTCCTTTCTCTCCTTTAAGAAAATGGTCACTTTTAATGTAGTGCATTAATGAGCAATCACTCAATTCCAATCTTATTTCTTTATGCCATTCCCAAAAGAGAACTAGGCAAAGCCACAGCCATGTTTACCCAGGCAGATTTTGCTACTTAAAGCAAGACAGTGGCACAGACTCAGTGACACTGTCCAGTTCCTGTCTGGAAATCCTGGAAATACGGTTCCAGATAGAGATTCGCTTCTTGGAAGAAGCTGAGAATGCACCTCAGTCTCTCAGAGAATGGAGCCTTCAGCAACTTGTTTGTTTCCTGCACAGAGGCACTCTAGACCATTCGTCTACATTCCAAACCTGATACCTTCACATCCTTACTTCCCTTCCTCCTTCCATTGTCTGATACATCACAGTTTCCTCTCTCTGCTAATAAGAGTGGGTGGCCTCAGATGCTTTCAGTTGTGGGAATACAATATAAGTGCTCTTGAGCAGTCTGGCTCTGCTTCGTGATAGCACTTCACTGCTTGGAAGAACCTTGCTCCAGATGAATGTGAGGACCTCCAGTGCTGGAGAAGGGCCTAATCCACCACCAGCATCTCTTCACAGACCAAGTGAAACACAGGCTCAATCTCCAAATTAAAAGCTGTAGGACAAACTCGTTTCAAACTTTTTATTCTAAAGTGAACTGAGACAAAAGAACTGTACACTTTGATTACAGAATACTGTTAAGGGTTTAAAAACAAATGTAGAAAAATGTACTGACAAAGAGCAAACCTTGGAAGTTCTTTACCAAGTTCTCTGCCACTCCTACAGGTAAGCAAGTCCTTTCAAAGAAGAGACATATTTAAATACTGCTGGTCTAAGTACTCTCTGTGGAGAGGAAAAATAAACCAAATCAAGCACAAAACCCACCAAAAAAAACTAAGGCACGTTTCCCCTAACAGTATTCAAAAGAAATACATACAGACAGATCAGAAGCATCTGGTCACACCAGTTTACACTCAAAGAAAACCATGTCAAATAGGCGTTGTATGTACTCACACACAGACATCATGTGCCTTGCAACCTGGTGTCATTACTAGTACCACATGTGCAGATTGCTCTGGGGCTGCAGTCTGGTGGGGACAGTGACTGTCATCTCTTCCACTCTTCCTTATTTTATGTTGCTCTTACAGTGTTCACCAATACTTATAGCCACAACCCTGAGAACAAAACCTTTATACTGCAGGGGTTCCCCACCCTGTCTGAAGCATCTAATGGCAAAACATGCCATATTTTTAATGTATTTAAATACATAACTGTGTATAAATTCATCATTTCAAAACCACAGAAGTTTCAACAATCTTGTGCTTGCAAGTCAAATACAGGAATATGCCCCTTTCCCCTTTCTCCCCCCCCCCTTCCCCCCCCCGAAATAATTCCAAGACTCAGGCATGGCCTACATTAATTTTCTCATGTGATAGAGTAACTACCCATTGGAGGAGCTTTACTTTTGGTGATTACCAGTGTTGTGGTTTAACAAAACAAAGATACTGGAAATAAACTGGTTTTGCCTTAATATCTAATTTTACTTTGGGGGGAAGAGGGTGCTATTTGTTAAAGCTAATTTAACTGCTTCCTCTTCCTCACCCTTTATACACACTTGTCCATCTCCATACCACATTAGTGTTACAGTCTTATCCAGAGGAGTTTGATAGAGCAGTGCTGACAGACAACACTCGCATGTAACCTTCAGTGGGAAGCTTCTTTTCCCAGCCTAAAATAACTCTGACTTGGCAGAAAAGTCCTTTTGATTAGTACAACCCTGGTTTTGCCAGCACAGTGGTTGATTAGGGTGTGATCTTTTTCACTCTATGTTGTGCAGCTATGACAAGAGACTTATCTGTATGGAAACCAAGCCCACATGTGATGGCCAGAAGGTTTTTTAATCTTTCCAAGACAACTCTTTCTAATCTCAATGAACAGGCCACTTACAGGCTCCCCTGTTTACATGTCTGGATTGAATAAGAGTTTTTACACACCTACAAGACGCAGTGAAAGAACCAATACAACTTAAGACATTGGTCTGATAAAGCAAGAACACAAAAAAACAACCCAAAACAGAAAACTGTTTTAAAATCAGAAATACCTTTTGAAAAAGTGGATCTCAGAAGTAAACCCAGAGAAGAAGAGCAAGACACAGAAGGAATTTCCTTCAAAAGAAAGGCTATTATTTCCATTCAACAATGGGTTTACCTATCATTGTAAAGAAGAGCTTTTGTTTGACACTTCTGCTTGGGGAATAGCCCCTTTTTTCATTTGGATGTCTTCAAATACTCAGTCTAAGCCTATCAAGTTACTTGTTCAGCCAGCTTGAGGCCGGTTTAAGGTTATTCCACAGATTTACCTCTTGATTTTGATTTTTCAAGCTTTTCTTGACAGAGTACATACCGACTGTAGAAGGATGCAAGATGCGACACTCCTTTATTTGTGGGAGAGTGATCCGTCTCTGTAGTTTCCATCCTCCTGTGGGTTGTTTCTCTTTTTTAATTCTGTGGGTGTTGGTCTGATCAAAAGACCATCCTTGTTCATTTTGTAGTTTCTGAGTGCTCTCTCTTTTCGCAGCGTTTGGGTATCTAAGAGCTGACGCAGCTCCTTTGGCAGCTCCATGCAAGTAGGCTGATAAGGAAACAGGAAAAGAAAGAGAGAAGAAATAAAATCAGTACATATGCCTACACATGCTCTGCTTCTGTTAGTATCAGATAAGATCTCCCTCTGTAATTAGCCAATGAAACAGAACAATCATCTCTTATTAGACCTGGAATATACCAACTACCTGCTTACACAAACAATACCTCAGGGGGAAAAAAGTCCCCCTCCCCTAACTCTTTCTTTTAAAGGCAACCTAAAGGGAAAAATATTAGACTTGCTTGTTTACTCCTTTATTATGAAGATCTTCAAGATTTAAGTAATAATTCACATGTGAGGGGTTTTAGATGTCTTCTGAGAAACCTTTTGCACAATGAAGTCGTTGTAAACACCCAAAAGAGGCATAACCAGTTCATGTTTCCTTGTAGGAAAGCTTTCCCAGCTTTTCATTTAAAACTACAGTATTCTATCCTAAGGGTAAAAGACACCTTTTGTGGAAGAAGCCAACACAGTTAACAGATCATTAAAACAGCTGCTTAGGAAGTATGTGAAAGAAGATACACTCCCTGATTTGGTCCTGAGCAGGGCATGGGATATTGTTCAAGATAATGCACTCAAGGATCTGCTCCTCAATAAGGGCTGCAGTGCTGACCATCTTTGTAGGAACATCAAAATCCACAATTGTGAACAGTTGTAGAAAGGGGAATTACACAAATAAGGAAGCTTGATAAAAACTAGTAAGAGACAGCCAAGCAAATTCAATCCTAGCAGGCAGCATGGAGACAACTTCAGGACAACATACAAGCAGCATAGGGTAAATGTGACCTAACAGCAAAAAAAAACCACAAAACAACACAGAAAGAGTGAAAGGAAATTGGCAGGACAACAGATTAGGGGAATAGAGACTATGAAGTAAGCATCCTTCAGGAAAGCAAAGCCCCATCCAAGTGAAGAAAATACTAAGGATGAAGCTACAGAAGATAACCAAAGGGTGAGCCAGAATAACTTTATCAATATTTAACAAAAATATAACAACTAATAGATTAAGCACAAAATGTCAGCCATTGCTGCAAGGTCAAGCTATGATCAGAATACAAAAGCAGCACAATAAAAACCTGAACAACAGAAGATGAAAAAGCTGAACTAGTAACTATCATATCTTGTCTGAAATCTGCCTTGATACCCAGGAAGATGGTAAATGTTTAGAGAAGGTCCCAGGAAAGATACAGGAAGCAGCATACTGGTAAGTCAGAAATCTGTATGAGCATAATGGTAGAAACACTAAGAACAGAATGAGTGGATATACAGATGTAATGCACTGGAAAAGACTTACCAGAGTGTTTGTAAAGGGAAGGCCGTGCCTCACAAAACCAGTGTCTAGAAGTGTGCACAGATCCAGAGGAAGGCTAAATAATTCAGGCAGGATTACAGAAAACCAGCAGAGCAAGCACTTGAAAACACCCGACCTTAAGTTCTGTTTAACCAGGAGAATGTGCATCCAGCCTCCTAACTATCCTACAGTGAGAGGTAATCTACGCCCTAAACCATTTAGAGTGACGTTGTGTGTAGTCCCACCTCACCTGCCAACCAGGAAAATTCCTGGTTCAGGCACCAATTATATTTAGACACAGAGAACAGAGTTTATGGAATGACATGTCATGAACGTGTTAGCTGGTATTATATACTGCACCACACCTCATCTGCTGCAGGTTTACCTTCAGTGCATTGGGAAATCAACCGCCAACTCTGCTGCACAGGGGTGTTGCTTTCTCTCTTATTTTTCTTCCTTAAAACAGATTTAGCTGAACTCAGACATGGAAAGGATTCCCTTAAAGTTAACTTTCATTGCTTACTCAGTGAAGAAACTGAAGTAACAGACCAGATTTAGAGTTTGAACATGCATGGCAAGCAGATTTTCAATGAGATAGAAGATACTTTCATTAGTGTGATCTTCTCACAAGATACAGAAACAATGATTAATAGGGAAATGATGCTGAAAATGGCTACTTTTACTATCCACACTACAAGATTTCTAAAGCAACTGCAGGAAGTATGATTATCAGATATGGTATCAAACAGATCTTCAAAATGCTGTTTGAAATGCTCAGGATAAGATTAATTCCTTGGCTAATCTTATGGAATAAATGGATTTACAGAAGGTCTGACTTAAGCAACCTGAGTACCACTTACAAAACTTCTACAAACAGCCCAATGCAAACCAGAATTTGTATGCTTTTCACTTTAACAGACTGTTCTTTTTCCTGTGTCATACCTACTTCTGCATGCATTCCACATGGGGAATGCAGACGTCAAGCTCATTTTTTTCCAGGAACTATGAACAACCTTCTTTTTTTTTGGCAGCTCTCTAAAAAGAAAAGGTTTTCAGATATGACCTCTTCTCTGCCTTCTATGAAGCAACTATGACCTCTTGTGGTTATCTAAACTAATCTCCTAAATCCTTAGTAATGGGATTTACTGCTCTGAGCCCTTAAGTAATTCCCAAAGGATTCAAGTCTATGCTTGAGTGCTTTCTTAAACCAGGGCAAAGAAGAAAACAATTTCTTTCAATGAAGGTAAACCTGCATTCTTTTTTCCCTAATACATATTTTGAGCCATTTACAACTGCAAAAATGAGGCAGTAACAAGATTTGATCAAGTTAGTTCAGTCTCTGTGATGAATGAGGATGTTTGACTGTTCACTTTTCACCCAAATTTAATGCCAGCAGTGTCTTACATAGTTAATCCCAAGATTACTTCATTGAGAAGACAAAAAATCCCCACACCATTTCTTGCACTGCTTCTTTCCATCAGTGCAAGAAATCATCTTTATCATCACCACCACCACCTCCCCCATATTAAAAATTAACAAGCAATTACACAGGAGCCACCCCAAGGTGTCTGGACCTGCCACACTACTGGTTCTATGTAACCAAAGATGAAAAGTGATTGATTTTCTTTATTTTTTAAGATAACACAGTTGAGAATAAATTAGGAAGACAAAATAACTCAAGAGATGCTTCTACAGAAATAAAAATCTTTAGTCAACAAGAGATAACATTACTGAGAAACAGCCAGTATATGAGAAATAGCTCCACAGTAAAGATAACAGAATAGGCTAAAAACAGAACAAGATTTGGGGACTAAATGTTACTACCAAATCAAAACAACTCTGGCAGCTCCAGGCACCAGCATTTTACAACTGCCTATGCCTCTTCATGCCCTCACACATACATGGTCCCTGTTGAGCTCAGAGGTTCTTAGCCTGAGATGAGTGAACAAAGGGCACATGTGCCCGTGCCCGTGCCTTAACAGAATACCCTCTGCTAATGAACATAAAATGCATCTAAGTAGATACAGACATCACCATATTTGCTGGTGCACACAGGAAATGAGCTATGTGGCATCAAGTAGGGTGCACAGTTGAAGAAAAGGAAGCTGCCATAGCTAGGTCCTCCAGAGTGCATCCATCAAAGACTTAGATCAAGTCACTGACCAGAGAAACAAGCAAACACTTACCTACCTTTGCGTTCCAAAGGTGATCTCCAGACCCAGAGCGATAAGCATTCAAGTAATCATGTACTACAGCTGTTAGGTCAGACAACAAGTTCTCCATTAGGGAAGAGTGAAGCAGCAAAAGGTGCATAGCCTTCAGAGCAAGTGCTTTAAGCAGCGAAGGTGGAAAGGGTCTCAGGAACCATATGTCAGGATTCTCCTGTGTTTCCCAATGCAAATGAAAACAGTTATTTAAGTAGCAAAAAAACAGAGCAAAGCTTGTCATCACATTCTTCTGCAGTTTACAACACATCTCCCAATGCTGATCCCTATTTTAAGTGCTACTGAATGCTTGCAGCTTCCAAGGTCATCTATGTACAAAGCCTATGTTAAAAAACAGGGAGTTTGGGAGGTGGTATTGCTTCCTTAAAAAAAACAAAACCCAATACACGCCTATTCCAGCATTTAATGCTAGATCTCTCTCACCCATCTCTGAAACAAGGCTGGATTCCTAAGAGCTGAGCTGAAAGATCTAAAGGGAAAAAAACCTCCCATCAAGGAAGCCAGGAAAGCAGCTGGGGATAGTGTCTTCAGCCATCACAACTGAAACCAGAACAACATGAAAATAAGACCCAGTTAAGCACTGCAAGAGTGATTTACACTGGTGTACTTACTACATACATATTACATGGTCATTTTCCACTTTTAGTCTTCAGACCAAGAGCACGATTTGGTCTAGTAAACTAAGGAAGGCTGAGATTTGCCATACAGAATTCATGCAGGTTTTGAGAGTCACTATTATAGTTCCAAAACTTACATAAAATTAAAGCTGTGTTCAAATTAGAGGTTTCACTGAGTAGCTGTTGGAGCAATAGTGATTAACATTTAATCCAGGCTTTTGAGAAAGGTTTTAAGTCTATGACCAGGCAATGCAAAACCACACAGATTTACTCAGGAAGTTACAAGGCCAGTGTGAAAGGAGAAAAAAATGATCTGGTAGGAAAGAAAATAGTTTCTATTCAGGAAAGAAATCCTGCGTATATAGTGGGGTCTCTTGTTTGTTTCCCCCATGCTACGGGCATTTGTATAGAGGCATCTGAGCAGAGCTCCAACTGAAGCCAGCTGATTTGCTGGAGTGGCTGGAGTATCTCTACATTGCTTCAAGCATTTATTATAGGTGTTGGCAACTGACTGGGTGTGTTAAGATGGAATGATGCCCCCCTCCCCCAAAACATATAGTTTAAAGCATCCTTGGCCAGTCTGGCAAGCCTCCTACCAAAACCGCTCATCACCACCTCCACCAGCCCCCAGTAGACCTGGCATACAAACTTGGGTCCCATGTTCAAGACACCCAAACCCCTGACTATGGCACCACCCTTCTAACCATTTATAACCTGGCCAATCCTCCTAGCTTTTTTAAGGTCCTCCCCTGTATCCTGGAGAATTGATGAAAAGACTATCTGACCTCCAGAGCCCCTAACCACCTCTCCCAGGGCTCTGTAGTCCTTCTTTATGATCTCCAGGCTACTACTATCTATATCACTAGCACCCACATGGATCATTACAAGTGGGTAATAGTCCATGGAACTTACTAGAGCAGGCAACCTCTCTGCAACATAAGTATACTTATGCAACAGAAGTATACTCATTAAGTATCTAGTTCCCATATTTAATAGCTTCCTTGGAACTCTGTCTCCTCCCCCCCCATCCCAGAAAAGCAATTAAAAACCCAGCAAAAGAGATGCCATAAATGGCACATTTATATATTATTTAACTAATTTGATACCCTTCTATGATACCCCCTAATGGATGAAGGCAAGGCAGCAGATGTAGTTTTTCTGAATTTTAGTAAGGCTTTTTAATACTGTCCCTCACAGCATCCTTCTGCACAAGTTGGCCTGGTTTCAGGTGGGATAGTTAATTTTCTTCCTAGTAGCCAGTACAGTGCTGTATTTTGGCTTTAGTTCGAGAGCAACGCTGATTACACACCGACGGTTTAGTTGTTGCTCAGTAGCACTTACCCTGATCAAGGACTTTTCAGTCTCTCATACTGTGCCAGTGAGGGGCACAAAAAGACAGGAGGAAGCAGAAAGGACACCTGACCCAAACTAGCCTAAGGGGTATTCCATCATGCCCAGTATATAAACTGGGGGGAATTGGCTGGAAAGGGCTAACTGTTGCTCAGGGACAGGCTGGGCATCAGTCAGAGGTGGTGTGCAATTGTACTGTTCAACGCATTTTTCTTGGGGAGGTTCAATGCATTTATCAATGATCTGGATGCAGGCGCTGAGTGCACCATTAGCAAGTTTGCTGACAATACCAAAATGGGAGGGGTCGGATAGACTGGAGCATTGAACTATGATTAATGGGCTAAAATTTTAACAAGTCAAAATGTCAGATTCTGCATTTAGGATGGATAACACTGGTGTGTTATCCTACAGGATTTCTCCAAGTTCTGTTACAATATGAAAGAAATTTTAGGGTAAAATGCAGCTGCTACTTCTAGGATGGACTGCAGTTAACATGCAGAGAATCTACCCTACAACAGCTCCCCAGACAACCCTGTGACCTTGGCATATGCCAAGGTAAACTGAATAGAGAGTGGAGCAGAGTGAAGACATCTCAGCCAGGCTGTTACACTCCTACAGATAGTGAAGAGACCATGTACTGATAAGGCATGTCACAAACAAGGATTGTCAAGTGAGAGATTTTCACACCAAAATGTGTATGACTAGAGCCACTGGAGCTCCATGGCATCTATTTAGACTCCATAATCACATGGTTAAAATTCCATAGGTGTTTAGTTAAGAAACTGAAATTTGCATTACTGTGAAAGAGCCTGAACAGATGACAGTGGCCTCTTAATGGGTCAGGAGACCTGAGAAACAACAGTGATTTATGAGAACTGATAGCTGGAGAGGCTTTGGCCTTGTGGGCAGACTAAGAAAAACAAGACCGAAGAAAAACAGAACTGGAGAAAATAAAACTGAGGAAAAACAAGCTTAATGAACCTCTAACCAAGAAAAGATGATCCTTGAAGTCTGCTACATCCTGACAACATCTGGACAATTGTCAAAATATGTTTTTCCATGAGTGAGGAGAAACATGATTTAAGTGTCCTTCTGGTGAACTAGCCCCATTACAATTTTGTTTTAATACAAAAATCACATCTACAGGTTAAAAGGAGCCCTGTCCAGGCTGGGAGAGCCTCCACTGACCATACATAGGTAGGCATTAGTTATGTACTCCTTATGCAAATTAGTTGACCAATTAAGGTTTGTGTAATCCTTATGCAAATTAGTTGTCCAATTGGTAAATTGTGGAAGGATTACAGGGAGTTACTAATTTAAATTAAACTATATAAATATGCAAAACTGGGGGGGTGGAGGGTGATTATCTGCTGTATTCAGCATTGGTGCAGCCTCATCTGGAGTTTTGTGTGCAGTTCTGGGCCTCACAACTTAAGAATCTTAGAATCGCAGAATGGTTTTGGGTTGGAAGGGACCTTAAAGCTCATTCAGTTCCAACCCCTTGCCATGGGCAGGGACACCTTCCACTACACCAGGTTGCTCCAAGCCCCCTGCAGCCCGGCCTTGACCACTGCCAGGGATGAGGAGTCCACAACACAACAAAAGAAGGATGTGAAGGTTCCTGAATGCATCCAGAGGAAAGCAACAAAGCTGGTGAAAGGGCTGGAAGGAGCACACTATTAAGCAGAGGCCTATGGGCTTCTCTAGCTTGGAGAAAAGGAGGCTGAGAGGTGACCTCAGTGCTCTCTACAGCTTTCTGAAGAGGGGAAGTGGAGAGGGAGGTGCTGATCTCCCTGGTATCCAGGGATAGGACACATGGAAATTGTTCAAAGCTACACCAGGGGAGGTTTAGACTGGACATTAGGAAGCATTTCTTTACTGAGAGGGTGGTCAAACACTGCAACAAGCTTCTTAAAAGAGGTGGTCAATGCCTCAAGTCTATTAGAGTTCAAAAGGCATTTGGACAATGCACTTAATAATATGCCTTAACTTGGTCAGCCCTGAATTGGTCAGGGAGTTGGATTGCAAGCATCAGATGATTGTTGTACATCCCTTGCAACTGAAATAGTCTGTTCCATTTATCAAGCTTATGTTCCCTAAATCTTAGGAGCTCACGGCCCATTAAGTTTTCCATTGCTTGTCCCCATCCTTTTGTTAATAAAAATTAACAAAACCAAAGACAATAGAGAATAACGATTTGGCAAATGCTGCTGAACTGCACAGGCAAGAAAAAATTCACCAGTCTCAGTTTTTTTCATTCTAATAGTGCTGGCAATAAAAGCTTTCCCTTTCCTTACTTGACTCAGGATTCTTTTTAACCAACTTGTTCTGTTGTTTCAAAATTCATCAGATATATTAAGATATTTTTTACCCAAGTTATATATATCCTCTATTGTATAACAAGAACCTCTATTTGTGGTTCTTCAATACCTCAATTTCAAATGAGCTATTAGGAAGTACCAGCATTAGCACTGATGCCACCTAAAGCTTGCATGTCTCCCAAGCCAAGTGTTAAACAATGTCCTTAACCAGAGCAATCAGACCACTGCATAGTACCATGTGCTTAAAAAACACCCAACAGTTGAGTCTTCAGAAGATGCCTCACTGAATCACTCACTGAAGCCATCTGCTGCCTGCAGTTCATGATGGCATCCCATTTGGAAGGTATCTTCAAGTGCTGTATCAAACACTCCTGTAACGTGCAGACATGGTGTGGAAGGAAGCCACCTGTTTCCATTGAGAACTGCAGAACATCAGCAACCTGTGATGAGAGGGATCAATATGCCATGACCAGTGTCTGTTAACCTGAAGCAAAGAACGTGGAGGTTTTACAGTGGAAATGCATATTACAAGTACTGCAAAAAAAAAAATAAATTAATCCTCTTTTTGACTGCATACAGGTGCAGATCTAGTAAACTGACTCCTTTGGCAGCACCCGCTCAGCCCCTGCAACAGTGACCACAGAATTGTAACTGCCCTTTTCTGGCCTCCTATAGTAAAGATAAATTCCAAGACCCATTCCTAACTTACCTATAAGATCTTGAGGGGGAGAGGGAATCCCTTTCTGTTCAATACCAAAGGCAAACAAGCTGGTATGATTTATTAATGACTAAAGCTGCCTCTGAGATATCAGCTAAATAGCTAACTGCTGCTTTCTCTGGGAGAGAAGCCAGGTATTTGCCAAGCTTACTAGAAGAAAGTGCTAAGCCAATCCATTCACTGAATTTCCAAGGAGTAAAAGATTGTATGAAGGTATTATGAAGAAATGCAAAATATAAAAGTGTCACAAGTAGAACAATCAATCTTGGACTAAGGAAAGAAATGTTGGCCCTCCTATGCTCTGTGATAGGACAGAGAATCTAGGGCTGTCTATATTTCTGCTGGTCTGACTACATTGCTGCAGTCCAAAGAAGTCTAAAACCACCAGGTGAAAAGGGGCAGGAAACACACCTGGGGAAAGGATCTGCAACAATTCAAACTGATGAGTTAACTGAAGAGAAGAAAACGGAGAAGGCTCAAGAAAACCCGGACTTCACTGGGTTATAAACACAACCCACCATGTCAAGAGGAAGTCTCCATCACTCATTACTAAACAGTCCTTTATATTGTACTTCTGACCACTAATACTTTCTCTGGCTTTTCACTCTCAGTGGCCAAACGCAGATGAAGAGAAACCTCAAGAAAGACCTTCTCAAAGCAAGAAGTTACTTTTACTCCAAGTCAAACTAAAGATGATGTTCAAATCTATGGAAAGGTATTCCCCTCTTCTAGATGGCTAGAAAGAGCACTTCCAGTAAAAAAAAATAAAAAAATATCAACACTTTTCAGACAAGGAGAGAAAAGACTTAAACAAAAGTGAAAGCATCTTTGTGATCAACATTTATAAAAATACTTATCTGAATGAACAAGGTTATAGAATAAACTTGCCCACAATGAAAACAAAGTTTTAGCTTTCACTGTGAAGTTTTGTCCAAAGTCACTGCATGCTCATGGTTTGGATTCAAGCGCAGAAAAATTACAGCACGCTAAAAAGTAGCCTATGTGAAACCAGACAGCATCAGTGACTTCTTCACTTGTATGTTTTGTGATTCAACCTTGCATGGACCTCCGTCTCATAGGAAGCCTACAGCTGCCAAATTTTCTTTACTCTTTCAGCACACACCTCTAGGAAGAATTGTAGTATTTCCCTTGGTAGTACACAGATATGCAACCAACAACATTTTAAAACGGGCAGTGATTTCAGAGTGCGAGAATGCTCTAGCCTCATGATGCAGTGTAGAAGTGTCCCAGAAGGCCATATTAGGGATGCAAGCACTGACAACAGCCAGTTGCTTGGTCACTATGCAGCTTTTTAGGCCCCTATAACCCAACAAGTTTCATGCCCCTTCTCCCTCCCAGGCAGTCAAATGTGAAATGGCAGTACCAGACTTCCACAAACATTATAATTCAAAGTTAGTTCAACAGGTGATGCTTAACTACTGTAAGAACATCAAAGGGGCAGACAGTGAACATCAGAAATGTTTCACTGTCATTGTCTACATATCAATTATATTAGGTTACTTATTGGAAGGAATAAACAGTTGCAGCAACTGGCCACAAACAGGGATAAGTAACACTTTTCAAATGATGCAGGTGGGATCCCTGCACCATTTCTTCTTTCATTCCACTGCTGTGTTTTTTAGGCAGTCTCACTTGTGCACACAGCCTGTTCCAATTTTAACAACACTAGGAAGCTGTCTCTAAGAAGCACTTCACAAAAACCATCTGTGAGAGTTTGCTCAGAGGTATCTTCTAGTTACTTGGTCCAGCAGTAGAAGATAAGACAGCTTAATTCCACAGTATCACATACACTGCAGGGGAGACAAAACCAGACTACTTCACTAACTTGCTAACATCAGAAGTAGGATTCACGCTAGTGAATCAGAGTAATTGAATCTAAGTCTAGATCTGTCAGTGCAGGGAAATCACACACGTCAGCTTACACAAGACAGCAGAACAATGAGTGCAATTCTGTGTACTTTGAACATGAGGTTGGATAGCTCTAGTTAGTTATTTCCACTGTTCCAGTTACATTCTAGCCAGTCCAGTTGAGAGCATTGGTGGGAATTTTCACCCCTACACTTTTCATGCAGTCAAGACTTAACAGTGATATTGACTGATACTCCATCTGTAATGGAATAACGTAATTTTTGGTGGCAAAAAGCCTAAGATCAGCAAGGGACTGCAAGAAATCTCTGCTCTATAAAGCTTACTACATAGCCCAGATTAGGGCCTTGAAGTGCTGCTATATGCAGTCATATCTATGACATGAAAAGTCAGTATATATGCAAGGACAAGTCATACATAAATGTGTGCAACATATCCATATCCAACAGGAAAGATCATAGCCACGATGCTGGGTTTTTTCTCTTTTTCATTCTCCTGTTAGTCACACATTAACTACCACAACTTCCAGGGCCTGCACCAGCAAAACCAAACTTTTCCTGGCCTGTTCTCTCACTTTAACCACTGCTTTTATTAGCAGGTGCTTCCAAGTGCTGGATACCTGTAGCCTGAATCTGCTTCTACATCTGAAAGGTGTAGAAAGAGTAACAAAGAAAATAAAGCAAAAGCTGACCTGGTTTGTTTAAGTCACAGTAGCGTCAGGTTGTGCCAAATCTAAGCAAGACCAGCTAATACAGCTTAACGCCCCTCCCCCATCAAACTTGCTGCTAATATTATATATTAAGTATCTTTTAAAATGGGCCTACAAAAGACTAACACCATCATCCTTGCCTGCTGGTTCTTTTTAACTAGAACAAAACCACTACGGTTACATGGCTCCACAACTGTCACATTCTAGTAATGTTAAATCTTCCCTGAGAGAATGCCCTAAACAAGGCTGAAGCTTCTCCTGTTGCAATTTTTGCTCCCAACCAGAATATTCTGAGGGTACCTGTGTATCAAAGACGTTGAAGAGGAGAACACCATATTGGTGGAAAAGGCAGTCTGAGATCCAGCGGCAATCATGCATGACCTGAAGCAAGAATGAGTTGTCAGGCAAACCTGTGTCCAACTGCAGCTTTTTTGGTGCAGCTAGATCATTATGGATGTATGTGACCTCTATCACCACAGACATCCTCACTCACCCCTTACCTTTAAGATGTTTTTATCTTCCAGCAACATTTGTAATCCATTTTTGAAAGCCTGTGGTCCCAGAAGGAAGATATCAAATAGATAAATGCGGCTCTTTGATGCTATCTACAACAAATTCAGTTGCAGAGAAAATGAGTGAGGGACAGAACAACAAAGGATGTGAAAGTAGAAGAGTGTACTGTTACCCACAAGCCATAAACCCTTACATAGAGGTTGTTAGGGAGATCAGGTTTAGTTTCCTTAATGATAATTCATAGAGAAGTCTTGCTTTTTCCAGAGATGCTCAGAGACTCACAATAGAAAGAATGGCCCTGTAGTCTATTGTACAAGTTAAATACAGCATTTTGAGACATATCAAGAGCAAACACTGTGCACAGTACTTAAAACAAATTCCTACACCTATTATGGTGACATTCTTAAAGAAACAACTTCCAACAAAGTTCTTGTGCCCATGACATTCCTTTCATTGTCAAAGACCAGTACCAAGGAAATAAAGGACATCATTTTCCATCCTAGCATTTGAAACAGGATCTCAAATTTAGGTTTTGCCTATGTTCAGATTCATAATAGTTTAACAAAGGCTGTCATTTGAAAGTGATTTAGCCATACCAAAGCAATAATTTTGTGGACACTTCTGCATAAACAAGTTAAGTTTGAAGGATGAACTCCTGGACAAGTTTTTTGTTTGAATAAACACTCACTTTAAAACCTATTTAAATATAAACTAGACAATTTTAAGCTAACATATTAAGTTACTCTCCTTTCAGTCCCTTCCTTTTCAGATACTGATAATATTGCAACTAATTAAGATACATGCATCTTTAGATGGACTTTACTCCTTCAATTATACTGGTGTTGTGATTAGGCCTTGGAGTTTTTCAATAGCTGTACTAGTGTAATACCTCTACCTGTGTACACATTTATAAAGATGGCAAACCAAATATGCTACCCTGCTATATACAAATGTATATAGTACATATAAGTTTAGTAATTTGTTTATTGCCTTATAATGGCCTAATTATTTCCATAACAGGTATTTTACTAAATGCCTGATCTGTCTTGAAGAAAATCATATCTAAAAACATTCACGAGTAAGTCTTAAACACAGGCTAATCCCCAAATCTTTCTCAGTTATGCCTCTGTTCAGTGGCACATATTGGGGAAACAACTGCCTCTTACCTCAAGCCATGACAGTTTTCCATAACGACACAAATTAACACCTTCTCCTGCTATACTGATCACACACTGCTGTTTTAGGTGCAGCACCTAATGAAAAAAAAAAGCAGGGGTAAAGTAAGTAGTGCGAGAGAATGATAGACATAGGGGCAAATTGTAAACCTAGTACTTTCACAGACATAAAAGGTTTTCAGACAATTAAGATAAAGCAACCTATAGTGCACGTGTAACACACAAGTAGAAAGCATAAACAGAAAGTAAAAAATCAGCTTCTTTTTCAAGTGACAGTTCATTTCCTCTGTAAGAAGAGAAATCTCTTTCTGTGGCAAAGAGCTTTTTCCTCTGTATGTGCAATAGATTTACCATACTAAGAGCCCCATACTAAGAGCCCAACTCCCAACTGATGTTACAAAATGGCATGGAGGACCTGTAGTATTGCTGGTACACTTCAGGATCTAAAAAAATGTTATTAAATGGAATAAAAATATCTGTCATTGGCAATGACTTTGGAAACAAAGCCTTTCTACCACACCCACTTGTGGCATACATGATTTAAGAGAAAAGTCCAGGCATGTCCGAAGTTCCAAACACTACAAAAACAATGCAACCAATTCCCTCACCAAATGCCAACAAATCCTCGCGTTGTTCCCTTCCTAAACAAAATAATTACATAGTAATACTGACTCTTCACCTCAATTACTGGTGATACAGTCTGAAAAATGGCAATCAACATGCACTGATGCAGATTCACGTTCACCCAGTGCAAACACATGCACTGCCATCTTTTCCTGCATCTACACACACTTTAAATGTATTCTGATGCCACCAGAGGTGCCATTTCTACTTGACTTAAAGAAGCCAGTTACTACCTATTGCTCAGATTTCACTACAGTCTGCAAAAGTGATTCCCTGCATAAGAGGTCCTGGAAGCAGTGCTTACAATCCTGTCACCTAATGGAACTGAACAGGATTAGAAGTCATATATGCTGCATAACAGCTTTTATCAATACTTACTGCTGGGCCAAATTTCTCATGGAAAGAATCAATAACTGTGTACTCTACATTCGCTTCTTCTTTATTCTCTAAAAGGAAGAAAAAAGAAATCATCAGATGCTTCCTCTACTCAAGTGAACTTTGCACAGGGTATGTACTTCAGGTGTATAATCATAGAATAGCTAGGGTTGGAAAGGACCTTAAGATTATCAAGTTCCAACCCCCCTGCCATGGGCAGGGACACCTCGCTCTAAACCATATCACCCAAGGCCTCATCCAACCTGGACTTGAACACTGCCAGGGATGGAGCATTCACAACCTCCCTGGGCAACCCATTCCAGTGCCTCACCACCCTAACAGGAAAGAATTTCCTCCTTATATCCAATCTAAACTTCCCCTGTTTAAGTTTTAACCCATTACCCCTTGTCCTATCACTACAGTCCCTAATGAAGAGTCCATCCCCAGCATCCCTATATGCCCCCTTCAGATCACTCTCCTAGTTTAGCTGTTTGGTTATTTTCCCCCTCTACGTCCCGAACACACCCAAAGAGGTTACTGAACCATCCAATTCAGATACATACAGTCTAGAGCATGACCCAAAATTCTGTTTTTCGACAAAAAGACTGTCTGTTTAAAAGCGAGTCACAGCATTGCTTCTTGTTTTTACGTTGCATAAAGGAAACAAAAAAGTTTCAATTTAAAAAATTGTATCTGGGGTTTTTTGGGGGTATTTTTTGGGTTCTTTTGAGAAGGACCTGATTCCCAGGCTTGTGCAGGGAAGGAAAAAGACTGAAATAAAGACAAAACCAACAGACAGTGCCACATAGAACATGGGTAGGTAAGTGGGCAAGGAGTTAAAGCGAATTTAATCCAGATTTTAATATTTTAAACACCTGCTTTACAATATCTAATGAACAGGCAAAGAAGGATTCTCTTAAAAGATTCTTCCTTCTCCTTAGGTAAGTTGCAAACATTAATAATAAACTAAAAAATAACAGTCAATTTAATGATGATAAGAACAAATGTTTAAAAGCTCCCCCAGATCACACTGACCTTTGCTTATTTTCTCCCCCACTACTCAGGTAAATGCAACTAACTTTCCTTCAACCTATGTGGATCTTGCACTCCTATCACAGCTCTGTGAGAACAGAAGGAGCTGATCACGTTTTGCATCTGTACATGTATATTTGTATACAGCATGAAGCACACAACAAAATCAATGCAATCACATGACAGCCAGCACAAAACCAAAAAGCAGCAGTCTTAGTGAGCATTGAGTTATCAAATACGCCACATACATTTCAGAAACAAGTATAAGATTAAAACAATCACAAGAGGAATGCTTACTGGGTAAAACACTTTGATTTCCCCAAAAGTTGTGCTGCTCAGCCATTTTTACAGTTGATGACAGCTACAGGATAAACATTCTAGGAAGCAGATGAGTTTCCTTCTGATATTGTGAACATTCCTGCAGGCAAAGAGCATGTCTGCCAATAACAAGCTCTGTACCTATCTTTCTGTGACCACTGTTCTTTCAGAACACATCCTGTTCTGGTACAGGCAAACCAAGAGATGACAGCCTCTGCAAAAGATGTTGTCTAGACACAGACTAACTGCATTGCTTGACTAATATCCACATTACCTGAGAGGGAGCATTTTAAGTTGTTTGAGGCTCTGAGCTGGCTCTCTATGGAAACAGGAGAACTACATGATCCACAACCTGCTGGTCCTTTGTCTGCTTGTTTGTTCCCTTCAACAGCTGAAGTGCACCTGTATGAACAAGGCAACCATACATAGAACAGATGTCAAAACATTACACATTCCATCAGTAAGGACATTTTAATAAAGAAAAATATTTCTTCCACTGCCATCTGCTTGTGACCAGACAATGAACCACTGCATATGATGCAATGTCCTTGTCCAACATGCATGGTTCTTAAAGATCTTGAAGCTATCCAACAATAAACTTATCTTGCACAAAAGGGCCTTTATTTAATATAAAATTTCATATTTATTCTAAAAGTAAAAGGTTAAAGCAGAATCTGAATAGATGTTTACTGTCAAGGTCAGCAATGGTTTCAAGGGAAGACAGTTCAAAGAACAACATACCTGAACTGATTACAAGAACCACACAATCTAAATATTTATGAGTCTTTCACACTGAATCAGTAGTATCTGATCTATTATTTAGTTACTGTAATTGAAGGGTTATTTTACAAGTTCACTAATACATAAAGCACTTATATTTGAAATTTTATTGTAATCAAATGGAAGTTATTAGATTATATAATTTTCATTATATTGATATAAACCCATCCCATTATGATTACAGAGCTCAAATTATGTACATATCTATCTCAGTAGAATAAAAAAATTAAAAAAGCCTTTCTAATGAGCCTTCAGGTATAGCTGAAGAATCTTGTACCTAAAAGTGTATTTAAAGGATTATCAATCTGATTCTGAGGTGACCATATTCAAGGATGTGTGAATGTAGGCTTACTTAACAGGGAAAAAGAAGACAGCAGCAAACCAGAAGATTGCTGCTAATCAGAATTCTATGTGCCTTTTAACTATATTTTAAGGACTATTCAGTAGACAACACTTCATTCCTACTTCTTTTAATAGAAAGAATAAACTATTCAAATGTGCTCTTGTGAGAAGACTCAAACCAAAGCCATCTAGGAGCATGGGTTAGGAGGAGTTTGAACCATATTTTTACTAGCTTCCCAAAGTCACATTTATATCTGATTTGAGAGCATCTGTGTAAGTGTAACCTTCCCTGTGTAATTGTCCTGTAACTGTTCCACCACAGAAGAATTGATTATGGGAAATCCTCCCTGAAACCACAAGGTGACAAGGAAACAAACTAAGCAAATTCTTCTACACTGGAGGTCTTCTGCTAACCACCTCTGTAAAGCAGAGAAATACAAACTTAGCACAGGTGAGTCTGAACATCAGTATCATGCTAAGTATAAGTGGTGGCTCCCTTAGCAAGTGCATCCCACCCCTTCTGCTACCATGAAAGGAAGGAAACTCTTCAACATACTCAGAGAGGACTGTTATTCCTTTCCCTGAATCTGGCTCATCCAGCAGTTCCACTGCAATAGAAGAAAACAATTTATGCTGCAGTGCTGACAAGCACTTGTTATCCCCCCCCGCCCCCCCAAAAAAAAAAAAGAGAACCGTAACTGATACTTACCACCACAGGACATAGCCGTACATGCAAAAAAAAAAAACAACACCTGAACTCAAAGTATAGTTTAAATAATTTAAAAATCACTCTGATGTACAAATCTATATAAAATAACTTCCATGGATAGCCTAGGCAAGGTGCGGTTCAGAATACTACCAGGTAAAACCAAGACTAATGCTTTAGCATCTCACTAAAACAAAGCCAGTATCAAACAAGTAATTACGTCAAAGACTACAAGGAAATTACTTTGAAGGTACAAGGAAAAAGGCAGAATGGAGTCAGTTAATCACTTGGTAAGTCCAGTAACTGCCTTCTAGCTATTTTCCCCTAAGAACTTTCCTCCTTATCCCCAGATAAAGGCAGATGTCAACAGAAACGCACAGGACTTTCATACACTAAAACATTTTTCTGAAATAAATCCATATTCTTATCACTAGTGAACCACAAAAAGAGGTTCAGATAAATAGACCATTTAATACGGATGCTTTTGCCTGTGTAAGTAAAAAGAACTCTAAGCAACTTCACTTGCCAGCGGCACATTAATGAAAGTCTTGCACCTATAAGAACATACACAATGAACGTAACTTGCCTTCAGGATATAAACACAGGATGTGATTATCTCAACTGATTACCTTCAGAGGAGTTACTTTTATTAGTGGTCTTACTGGATTTTATTAATTATTTAACTAATAAGCTTTAATGCAGTACCATCACTAGACGTTAGAATCATAGAATTTTTAGGGTTGGAAAGGAACTTAAGATCATCTAGTTCCAACCCCCCTGCCATGAGCAGGGACACCTCACACTAAACCATGTCACTCAAGGCTCTGTCCAACCTGGCCTTGAACACGGCCAGGGATGGAGCATTCACTTTCTTGGGCAAGCCATTCCAGTGCCTCACCACCTTCACAGTAAAAAACTTATTCCTTATATCCAATCTTTACTGCTCAAACTACCGTGGTATAACTCTGCTCTCCATTGCTGGTAAAATTCTTGCAAGAATACTATTGAACAGACTAGTACCTGCCATCGCAGAAGAACTTCTACCTGAAAGTCAGTGTGGTTTCAGGGCTAATAGAAGTACCACAGACATGGTATTTGTTCTCAGACAATTGCAAGAAAAGTGTAGAGAACAGAATAAGGGGTTATACGTAACTTTCGTTGACCTCACCAAAGCCTTTGACACTGTGAGCAGGAAAGGCTTGTGGCTGATCTTAGAACGATTAGGTTGTCCCCCCAAGTTCCTGAAAATGATTATTCTGTTACATGAGGATCAGCAAGGCCAAGTCAGGTATGGTGATGCACTCTCTGAGCCTTTCCCAATAACCAATGGTGTGAAACAAGGTTGCGTTCTCGCACCAACCTTATTCACAATCTTCTTCAGCATGATGCTCCAAAGGGCTACAGCAGACCTCGACGAACAAGACGGCATTTATATTCGATATCGTACCGATGGTAGCCTATTCAATCTAAGGCGACTGAAGGCCCACACTAAGACCCTAAACCATCTTGTCCGTGAACTGCTCTTTGCTGATGATGCCGCCCTTGTCGCCCACACAGAAGCAGCTCTGCAGCGTTTAACATCTTGCTTTGCGGAGGCGGCTGAGGTTTTTGGGCTGGAAGTCAGCTTGAAGAAGACAGTAGTTCTCTACCAACCTGCACCCCTAGAAGATTATCGCCATCCCCATATTACCATCGGCGAGTCAGAGCTTAAGACAGTTCAGCAGTTCAGCTATCTGGGAAGCATCATTTCCTCGGATGCCACGATCGACAAAGAGATAGACAACAGAATAGCAAAGGCATATACAGCCTTTGGAAAACTCCATAAAAGAGTCTGGTGCAATAAACACCTGAAGAAAAGTACAAAGATCAGTGTCTACAGAGCCATTGTATTGTCTACTCTTTTATATGGGTCTGAATCATGGGTCATCTACCGTCATCACCTGCGACTCCTGGAACGCTTTCATCAGCGCTGCCTCCGTACAATTCTAAACATCCATTGGACTGACTATGTGTCTAATGTCACTGTCCTCGAACAGGCAGGGGTCACCAGCATCGAGGCCACATTGCTGAAACTGCAGCTGCGCTGGGCAGGGCACGTCTCTAGAATGAAGGATCACCGCCTCCCCAAGATCGTGTTTTACGGTGAACTTGCCACCGGTAGCCGCAAGAGAGGTGCCCCAAAGAAGAGATACAAGGACTCCCTGAAACAATGCCTTAGCCTTGGCCATATTGACTACCATCAGTGGTCCACCTTGGCCTCCAATCGGGAGACTTGGAGGCACACCATACATAATGCCGCTGACTCCTTTGAGAGTTCACGAAGAACTAGTCTCGAGGAGAAAAGACAACACAGGAAGAATCGTGTCCCACCTGTTCCACCCAAGGAGACCTTCTGCTGTGCTTTTTGTAGCCGGATTTGCCTATCCCACATTGGCCTTCTTAGTCATCAGCGCGCCTGTAGTAAGCGTGGGTAAATGCCCTTCCCAAATCTTCGTTCGCGAAGTCAAGCCATGATATCCAATCTAAACTTCCCCTGTTTAAATTTTAACCCCTTACCCCTTGTCCTATCACTACAGGCCCTAACAAAGAGTCCCTCCCCAGCATCCATATAGCCCCTTCAGATACTGGAAGGCTGCTATGAGGTCTCCACACAGCCTTCTCTTCTCCAGGCTGAACAGCCTATCTTCATACCCCCGATTATCCTCATGGCACTCCTCTGGACTATTTCCAACAGTTCCATGTCCTTTTTATGTCAAGGACACCAGAACTGCACACAATACTCCAGGTGAGGTCTCACGAGAGCAGAGTAAAGGGGCAGAATCACCTCCTTGGACCTGCTGGTCACTCTCCTTTAATGCAGTCCAGGATACAGTTAGCTTTCTGGGCTGCGAGCGCACACTGAAGCCGACTCATGTTCATTTTCTCCTCAACCAACACGCCAAAGTCCTTCTCTGCAGGGCTGCCCTGAATCTCTTCTCTGCCCAGCCTGGAGCTGTGCCTGGGATTGCTCTGACCCAGGTGTAGGACCTTGCACTTGGCATGGTTAAACTTCATGAGGTTGGCATCAGCCCACCTCACAAGCATGTCAAGGTCTCTCTAGATGGCATTCCTTCCCTCCAGCGGATCAACCGAACCACACAGCTTGGTGTCATCAGCAAACTTGCTGAGGGTGCACTCAATCCCACTGTCCATGTCACTGACAAAGATGTTGAACAACACTGATGCCTGAGGGACACCACTTGTTACTTTCACAGAGTGGGGAACTACTACAACAACTGGGGGACAAAAGTAGTGTACTTTACATAACACTCAAATTCCTGCTGATTTTAGAAGAAAGTTGTGCACCTGAAGAACTCAGTGACCAAACAGTGGATTTAAAATGCTGAACTAAGAGCATGCACAATCCCTGTGCCCCAAAATGCAGTTAGAGAAGCCTCACCATTTACTATTTCAGGGCCAAAAAACATCTTTATTCCTGGACTGCTTCTGCCAGTTTCCAAGTTCTTAACTGAAATGAAAAAAAAAAAAAATAGACATACATCAAGTTCCACTTCACTGGTTGGGGTAGCAGCTTACCATTTGCAGAGCAAAGCAAGAACACAGGATCGGGTAGTACTGTTAACTAGGGAAAAAAAACCAAGCAAATCAATAAATGAGCTGTTTTCTGCGTCAGCTCTCACACTCTACACAAAGTTTCTGTATAAACACTGTGCACCGAGCAGGATACAGCTTGGGGCTGCTACACCCGCACAGCCTCACACCTGAGTGCACAAGCAGCTGCTACCAATTCCTACTTTTAAGTTTCGTCTACCCCAACGTTGAGGCTTCCCGTGCCACAGCAGCGCCTCCCCTCCGCGGCCAGGCTCAAAGCGCGGGGCCCGCCCGCCTTCCCTTCACCCCCCTCCTCTCCTCTCCTCACTGAGGAGGCGCAAGGCACCCTGAGGGCGGACGGAGCACGGCCCTGCCCACCGCCGCGGACGGCCCCGACCTGTCCGCAAGAGGAGGCTCCGGTCGGGGTTCACATGTTGCAGCACCCCTTGGAAAACGCCACATTTTAAGGTGACCTTAACGGTTCTGCCCAGCAGCGCAACCAAAGCCTCATTGGTGAGGGCCATGGCACAACCCAGGCCGCCTCAGCCGAAGCACCCCCAAGCACGCCACCACCAGCACTGAGGTACCACACCAAGACCACGCCCCCCGGGCGGGACCGTCGTAGCTCACAGCCAATCACAGAGGGGAAGCGTGCGTCGGCAGCGCGTGCTGTGCGCGTGCGTGCGGGTGCCCGTCGTCGGCCGGCTGAGGGGCGGGGTGAGGCGGGCAGCGAGGGCCGGGCCGAGCCGGGCCCGGCTGGACTCGGCGGGCGGGGCGATAAGAGTCGGTGCGGGCTCCCCTTCCGCCTCAGTACAGCTGGGTGGCAGTGGCTGGGCCCGTGGTGGGGGGGTTGAGGTATCGCTGTTGCTATTCGGCTGCGTAACTCTGTCCGCTGTGGAGCTCGGCCCTTCCCCTGGGGCTCAGCGGCGGTGATGGGTTCCCGGGCGTCCACGCTGCTGCGAGACGAGGAGATCGAGGAGATCAAGAAGGAGACGGGCTGTGAGTGTAGGGCTGGGAGGTGCGGTGGGGGCTGGGCAGCAGGAGCTGTCTGTCCGCCCCGTCGCGGCTGCGCGTCGAGCCCTGCCCGGGGCGGTCGGGTCTCCGCGGCGGGGAAGGCGAGCGTAGTCGCTGCGTTCCTGGCTGGGCAGTGCCTGGTCCCAGCTGGCCCCGAGCCGGTGCCTGGCTGTCCCTGCTTCTGCAGGCGGGCATGTCTTGTAGGCCTGCGGAAACCTGGGAAGCGGCTCTTGGTTCGCTTGGTCGCCGCGCAGGAGCGGCCCTCGGGGGCTGACAGAAGGGCAGCTCCTCCGGTCTGCCGCTCGCTCGGGGGTGGCAGCGGGCCCTAGCTGTATAAGTACTACTGTTGTCGTTTAGGGTGCTCCTTGGCTGGGCTGGGCATGGCAGTGCCAGCTGCGGAGGCTGGTTTTGCTTGGCGCACTAGAACGAGAAAGCTGCTGTCACCCAGCCTGCTGGGATCTGCGAGTCCCTTTGGGTTCTAGATGCGCTTGGAGCTGTAGGGGAGAGGGAGCTATCGCTGTGTGCTCGGCTGTTCAACGGCAGTGAGATCGGGTGGGGAGGGAGGGAAGAGGTGCGCCTGGTGTCTGCAGTATTGCGTTCGGTCAGACATAACTCGTTGGGGGTTTGAAGAGTTCTCAGTTTCTGGTGCTGGAGTTTCTTTCCACCAGCTGCTTTTAGCCCGAAAAGCCTCTCATAGTATAGTGCTTTTTTTTCCAAATGCTATGTTTCATAGGTTGTCACGGAAGTTACCTTAAGGGTATTCAGAATGAATGCTGAGTGGCATTTAAAACATAAAGGAGGTAACGCAGCTTGTGAAAGAAGTGAGAATCCCTATGCGAGTCAACAACCGGGAGAGCATGATTGAATCAGGACTGCAATATATAGCTACTTTACCTTATAGTTTCTGACCGAGTTGTTCTCAGTAAATATAAAGCACCTTAGAAAATCAGTGTCGTTAATTTGGCCAATAGAATGGTTGCCTCTCTGAGAGTATTAACAGATACTGAATGATAATAAATGGAGGGTGTCCTCCTAACTGGTTGTAGAGGGGAGGTCATAAATCATACGTATCGTTCTGCTGTCCCTCCCCTCTCAGATAAATAACGTCTTCCTAGATGAAATCTTTTCTTGCGTACGCTTGTTGATCTGCTCTTGCTACATGAAAACACCTTCAGTTTTCTTTGAAACAGAAATGGCATTATGTATTCCTTTTAGGTGGTAGTTTATTTGTGTCAGGAAAACAAGTGGCTACAGAAAAGGAGTGGAAGAAACTGAAGACGGTACTGGCTAACGTAATGGATAGCTGAGCAAGTTAACAGCTTCCATGATCCTTTTTCCATCTGTCAAGGGAACCTTCTCCAGGAAGGCTGTGATAAACAAGTAGTAATATCCAAGCGTGCCTATCCAGCAAGAACTCACTGTTTGGTGGTTGTGGGGTTTTTTATTTCTTAAATCATAAAGGTAGCATCCCCTCATTTAGAAATATGCTTTAAGAACCAACCCCCACATTTGGAATGTTCTTCCAAAAGGCTTCAGTCTTTGCCTTGTGCCAATAGTTGATTCATCATCAGTGGTGTTTCATTCCTAGAGTTTTACTTGCATGGTAGTTAAATAAATACCACTGAGATGGTTGTATAGGCATTCTAAGCAATAAAACCACTCAGCTCTAGTTGGCCTCTTATGTCTTCAAAGTAGGGAGCTTAACATTGTGATGAGTTGGGCTTCAGCTTTGTGGCCTGTATTTTGTACTATTCAATTTTGTAAGTCATATCACTTTTTTAATTGAGCATTGCTAACCTGAGTCATGCTTGTTGTCTCTGACTTTATCAAACACTTATTTTTTTTCCCTCCAACCTGTAACCAGAGTTTAAGAATGTGATTTTCCTCTGCCTCTTATCCTTCTCTAGGTAGATGGAAAAATTCCACCAAGCTCTTAGCACTGTTATACACTTCACATGGGTGCAAATATTTATGCAAGGTACAAGGTAGTGGGAAAACCCCAGGATGCTGGTTTATCTGGAGCAAAGTTCATGGGGAGAATGCCAAGTTAGTGTTATTGACTGGAATATCCTGTGGTTGTTAGAAACTTAATGCTGATGATATGTTACCTACTAAAGAGTTTGAGAGAGGGACCTCTTAGATATGTAACAAACTGGCAGTACATGTCCGTCCTGAACCCATGTTGTTCCTAAGGGTTCTTTTTTTTTGGCCTCCTTACTGTGAAACGTGACTCCATCAGTTCATCTGGGGTAAGTATGAAGTACTGAACAGAACACTTAACCAGTTTGATTGAGTAGAAGGGACCTTGTTGGGGTAGCAGTACAGGTAAAATCGTGTTTCAGTTATCTTTGAGCCTTAACCTTTGATTTTAAGAAGCTGTCATAAATTGCAAATTTTTTTTTTTTTTTTTTTTCCTCCTATGGTCGGCAGGGAATGACAAAGTCTTTATTTTGTATGAGAAGGCTCTGAAAAGTGTCTAGTGATGCAGCTTTCATGAGAGATGAGAGCTAAAAACGAAATCGTGAAAGAATATAGTAGGGGACCTGAATCATCTTCCTTTCTTTATAGTGATGATATGTTTTTTGTCTAGTATGAGATAAACAAAGGCATTTCTTCTTCTGTCAAGAGTTACGTACTATTTATCACATACTAGCTGTTATGGAGGTGTTACAGAAATGGAGTTGCTGACATTAGTTTGGAAATGGTACCTAAGTAGAATTTTCATCACCTCTGTTTCCAGGAAGAAGTTGAGAGCACAGGGCTTCTTACTCCAGGCTATTCTGTTTTCACCATCAGTTGTTATGGCATATCATATCTAAAATACTTAATCAGAAATGCAAAAGTCTTTAAAATACTGGTGCCTGCTGTTTAGTGTGCTTCTTAACTTGAAATTGTGGAGTGTTGGCTTAGGTAGAACTGATCAAATTGCCCAACCTTGTGCAAAGAATGAAAGTTGCAGAGGAGACAAGGAAAGAGGAAAAAAAAAGCCCCCCACAGTTGCTAGCAGGTCACCCTAAAGGAGGGAACAGTTGAACCTAAATAAATAGGCTGGAAAAAGAACAAACCTGGGGAAAAAAGAGAACCTAGTAAAATGCTTCAGTTGTCACAGATCAGATGACTGCTGTGCAACCTGTTCCCATATAAATTTTACCAAGCAGTTTTACCAGGTATTGTACATGTGATGTGCTGGTGAAGGCTTTTAAAACAATTGAATCTGCAAATGGCACAAGCTCCTAGTTTAACATTGTAGAAAAATCACATCTTCACTGAGTAAACATTAACATTCAATTCAGTCTTATTATTTATTAACTTCATCCAAAGAGGCTCTCAAAAGCCAAGATCTTCTGCAGGGCATTCTTTCAGTGTTAAAAGGAATTCATGTTCTAGATAGGTTTAACCTGCTCCCGTCATGGACTGATCTAATGATCTAGATATCTTGCATCTTGTCTAGTCTTGGTAATGTTGGCAGCATTATGCTAAATTTAATACTGGCTTTGAAATTTGTGTTCAAATTGCAAACTTAGGTCTGCAATAACTTCCTGCTTTCTTTGTGTCCTGACTCCTTCCCAAACTTCTTTAGAAACAGGCTTTTTAATTTTTAACTCAAAGTCTTAGAAGCTTGGAAATCACTTTAGTGAACCCCCAAATGAGCAAACTGCTTAGGTTCAGGCAGTCCAGTCAAGGAGGAAGAGTGATCAGGTGTGCAGTCTCTATGACCTCTCACTAGATGCAGGAAAACTGAGTACACTTTCCATCTTTAGGTGGAAAAAGACAACTGGAGTAGAAATAAGACAACAGGAGTAGAGATAAGTGAGAGAAGGAAAGATACTATAGCAGAGGCCTGCAGTGTCATGAACGATGTAGAGGTCATCAGTGGTGGCTGTGTCCGCATTATTTCTAGCGCTAGAGGAATTAAGGGAAACAGAGTGAAACTGTGACTCAAACACCTTTTCTTTTTGTGATCAGTAATTACCATTATGGACTCAGATAACCAAGGGATTTTGGATACTAGAAATATAAATGGGTAGAAGGCAAAGTTAGACAAATTTTTTAGGCTTATTTGTGGATTTTTGAATACTAAGATGCAATTTACAGCTCAAAGTCACTACTCTGCTGATTGCAGTGTGCTTCCAATAGAACTTGTTTTGTGTGATCTGTTTTTGAATGCAACTTCCGGCAACAGTGGCTCAGTGTAATGAGATCTGATTGAGGAATTGTTCTGATGAGGAATCATTGCCATGCTAATTTGTATTTCTTTCTTCTTTTTTCTCCTTCAGTCTCCCACAGTCAAATCACGCGTTTGTACAGTCGCTTCACCAGCCTTGACAAAGGAGAAAATGGCACTCTTAGGTGAGTATCTACCAATTCAGCTGTCCTTGCACTGACATTGCATATCTGTAATGGTGGCTTGCCATTGCAGGATGCCTGCATGTTTTCCTCATAGAGTGAATCAGTGAGGCTATTATAACAGATTCTTTCATACCTACTGTCTACATGGATATTCACATTTGTTCTTTTATGAAAGGTCAAGAGAAATCTGATTGTTGAACTTAGGTGCTCTAAATACCAGTTGTCTTTCCTGTAGTGCTGGAAGTTTGTAGCAGTTAATACAAGAAAGGTTGGATTTGGTATTCAGGGAATTAACAACAAATGTTCAGAAATGTTAAACCACATTTTAGATTATTATTTCATAGAATCATAGAATAGTTAGGGTTGGAAAGGACCTTAAGATCATCAAGTTCCAACCCCCCTGCCATGGGCAGGGACACCTTGCTCTAAACCATATTACCCAAGGCCTCGTCCAACCTAGCCTTGACCACTGCCAGGGATGAAGCATTCACAACCTCCTTGGGCAACCTATTCCAGTGCCTCACTATTTCTTACCTTTCTTTATATGTTGCTTCTAATAATTATTACAGGAATGATTCCACTATGTCATCTTCATCCTGGCTTTCATATAAAAAGATCATTTATATTTTTGGGAGCATGGGCTCTTAAATTGTTTCGGATACCCAGTGTCCTTTAACACTACTTTGATCTGCAAACCATTTACTGTTGTTAACTTTGTACCTCTTGTTAAATGCCCATGTCTATTAGTATGCTCAAAAATAAAAAGAGCTGGAGCTGGGACCGAATCACTGTGAATAAGCAAATAGATGATTTATTCTTAAAAATAGTAGTGCAGGATATTCCAAGGCCTTTGAAGTATTTGTCTTCTGTGTATGTTTGGAACACACAGGTGAATTGGCTTCTTACAGCTTAATCAGTTAAATAAAGATGAGGCTTAAACGTTTTCTGCAAAACACTTTTCACTTCAGACTGACTCTAATGGAAAGCATATTCTCAACTGAAGGGTAAACTCACTAGTTTAACAGGATGGTTGCCTGTTAAAATACATCTCTACGTGTGGTCTTTGTTCTCTAGCCTTTCCCACTCTGGTTATGGTACTGTGTGTTGATATTGCCTTGCTCTTTATTTAATGAACTAATTATGAATTCTGATTGTATTAAATTGCTTATTAGTCTTCTCTTGTGATGTTGCCTATGGATTGCGTAGTACTATGGAAACATGAGAAATTAGATCTGTCAGTGATTGCACCAGGGAGCAATTTTGCAACCAAGATAGTTGTTCTAAAACCATACTGCCTCTGAAAGTCTGCTTTTCCATGTTGATGGTATTCAAGGCTTATCTTTGGAAACTAACCTGCAGCATTGAAAACTTGCCAAAACTACTGCAGAACCAGTGCAGAACCAGGGAAGCTGGAGAGAACACAGAAAAGAATACGAAGGGGAAAGGGATTTTGTAGCATAGTATATGAGGTCTGGCTGGAACAGAGTTGATTTCTTTCATAGCAACTCTATTCCAGTCTAAACCAGTAAACATAGATTCAGGGGTTGCCTGGGGTTTTGAATGTGATTGTCGGATGCACTATAAACGTATAAAAGCTAGACTTAGTGTAAAGCGACAATCACTGCTTAGCAAGTGAAGGTGACAAGTTGTAAGATACACTGGTTTTGGCAGGACTACTGACTTACTGTAATTTCCTTTCCTGAAGGAAATACGCAGCTCCTTCTGGTGCCACAAATTGCTAACTTCTCAGTTAACATTTAAGTAACTGGTTGTGGAATTGTGCTGTAAACAGAATTACTGAGTATTGCTGGTTAAAAATACTCTCTCTCCCCTTTTGGCTTGTGTAGTGCTTTTTAAGTATTTTTAAGCTGACTGGCTCCAGTGACTGGGACTGTGGCTGTGCTGTAAATGTCTGGACTGCATAGCTGAAGGGATGACAAAATCAATTGTGGGTGTGGAAACAGTTGGGGTGGGATGGGCAGGAACTCCTTAAGACCACTCTGTCACCAAAGCCAATGTATCACGGAAACTGTAGCATTGGCTAATTGGCAATTGTGACATACAGATCAGCTGATGATATTGTAGGTAAGGTTAATACTATTTGTCTCACTATTATATTACTTGAAAAAGAGCACTAACAGCCTCTTCAAACTTTGTATGTGGGTTTAGTCTTCAGTTATGATAGCTGCCACACTAGTCTAGTATAGTTTGAACCTAGCACACATTCTTCCTCAACTCTTGTCTCTAACTTTAAACTCGCCTATTGAGCCCATAAAGTTTGTGTAAACTTCAGAGTGATTGTACTCGGTTTACGTAAGAGGAGTAATTAATTAAATATGCTGTGAATGTCTGTTGCACAATGCTTAGTTTCGTAGTGTCACGAACGAGAAGCTGGACTTCTATTGTTGATAATCACGTGGTACTTGGGAAAGGAAATGAAGTTTGTTTGGAAAATCCCAGTAACTGTGCAAATTGTGATCCCTTAACTTGCAGTCTTGGCCTCCAAGCATAGCCTGTTCCCAAACATGTCTGACAGTGGCATTCAAGTTTTGAAACCTGTCCCAGCACCCACAATATGTGGAAACCATTAAGTTTAAGTAATAGAAAACTACTTCCTGAAAAAAAACAACAATGAGAGCAGAGTAAGAACTGTAGCTTGGAATATTGTAAATGTTGGTTTCTGGAATACTGATCAAAGAGAGCGCGCTACTCTGAGGCAACTGAGATGAAGTTACCACTTGCTTACTAGCAGCAAACTGTTTGGAAGGCATGTCTTCTGTTTGTTTCCTGTGAGCAAGAACAGCTGTTTCCGTAGGGATGACTTACACCTTTGACTTAGAGATCAGACATGACAGAAGTCACTCATGTGACTGATCAGGAAAAGAAGTGGTAGGCAGTTCTATATGGCATGAAGTAAATCTTTAAATGCGTGCCACTGTTCTGAAGAAGGGGTTTGGATCATAAAATGTTAGGGTACTAGAGTAGTGTGTGCTTCCATTCCTTTCCTTTAGCACTTCTGTTTTGCATATGGTTTGTTTTCTTTCCATTGCTTTACTTTCCCTTAGCTCTAGGTAGCCCTACCCTTCTCATCCCTTTTGAGGGAACAGTACTCTGCTACTATTTAGAAGTAAAAATGATGAACAACCAGAAATACTGGAAGAAGAGTCTAGTAGGTTTCTTGCAGTCTTTGGGGTAAGGCAGAGCCACCTTTACAGTAGGGATCTGCTGTGTGCTTTGGAGGATATATTCATGCTTAGAAATAGTTGCCTGTCTTAGAATATACAAATTCCTTACTGCAAAGTGTATCTAAATATGAATGCACTGACATGTATATATTAAGTGGTTTGCCGGCATAATGGTAGCATGTAGTTAAAGGTTGCTCTGCATGTTACATTTAGGCAAGGATTTAATAGAAGCCAGATTCCTGGAAAGGTATTTTAGAAGAGCCTTGTTGCTATGGCACGTGAACACGGGAGAAATAAAGGGCATCTCGTTTCCTGTAAGCTCCAGCCTCAGCCAGGTGAAGTCGGTCCCTAATGACTGCAGGAATCCTTAGTTTATAAAGTGCAGAATAACTTGCCTCATGCATTCATTAACTTTTACGGCTGTTACAGCTATTCCAATTACAACACTTGCTCAGTAATGTGCTCTTAATAAGCAAAAATGGTCTACTTGCAATCCTGATAATGACAAGACAAATAGATTTGAAACCTGGGGAATTGGTTGTAGTTAATTGTTAATCTCCTGTTAGAAAGCAGAATAACCGGAGGCTGAAATGCCAAGTGTAAATTGAGGCTGTATATCAAAAAGTGATATGCAAGTAAAAACTTCTGAAGCATTAGGATTTTGCTTTAAATGACAGAGAGGGCAGCTGCTGCTTTTAGCTTGTAAATGTTATCATTGATGCTGAGCTCCTGTTGGTAAAATATTGTTACTAGGACACAGGCTTTCCACATCACTGCATCTTCTGCCGAAATGTCTAATGCATACTTTGCCTTTCAGCTATAGCTTAAAATGCAGCACTCCTGAAGGGGCTGGTAACAAGTTGATCATGTTATACAGATGGTAACTTTGCCTATTAAAAATAATTCAGGTCTGGTCAGAGCAGAAGTTTGCTGGAATAGCATAAAGGCAGTCAGGTCACTCTGTTAGAGGTCAAACAGTTTACCCATGTTGCCACATTTATCGTAATTGGGACTCTCAGCAGCACTGTGGTGTGACCGGGTGCAAGGTGTGCTTAAGAATGCATTTAAAACTAGAACATCTTGCTTCTTTACCTTTCCCAGCCCAGACTAGTAATCAGGTTTGCCAATTCCTTTTTTCACCTGTGTTTTAAGATGGCAGTGGTACAAAAGACCAGTATACTTAAAGTAATAGCAAAACCTGTTTGTGTTCACTTTGCCATTTTTTTGGTGTAATGACATCATGCATCAAACCTTGTTGCCGATTAATTCGTTTTCAAAAGTAGCAGACATTTAGTAACCAAGTTTGAGACTTTGACCCAAACTTCAAAACCAGCAGGACTGTATTTGACTTGCATGCAATTGCTGATACTTCAGGAGATTAGACAGGAAATGTCAAATTACACATCCAGACAGAATGGTTTGGGATTTTTACAGGTTCACCCCATTTCTGCTACATTTGCAATTAAGAATATAAATTATTACGGAGTACATCTTGTATTGACTGATAAATAGGTGTGCTCTGTCATGGAAAAGAAAAAGGAGGGGGGATGGACCCAAACATGATGACCACAGTATTCACTAAGACACACTTGTTTTGGTCACACCAAGGTTGTCTCACTTTCCTGCCAGTGACATTCTATTAGGTTGAAAGAAAAGAAAAATGAGTACAATTCTAGGGATAGAATGAACCCTGTCATGTTCATGTCATAGTGATCTAAACTGTGTTGACATCAGTACAGCTCATGAAAACATCCAGATCAGAAGCTATAAGAATGTAAGCATAGCTGTGCTTATACGGTACTGTCTACATACAATCATGAGCAGAGAAGGGAATGGCTGGCATAAGTATTGAGTATTTGCAATGTACTGGTGAAGTTACATCTGGTGTACAGGCCCCTCTCAAATCTAATTTTTCTACTTTAAAATAGGAGTGCTGCTTGGTTGAATCTAAAATCTGAAATTTGGCACTTATAATAAGGTATAAAGTTGTGCATAAATGAGAATTTCTATTAGAATATGCAGAACACCTGTGGTATGTTTGGAGGAGTATGGTATTGTCCCAGCTCTGGAGCAGGGTAGTCTGGAAAATGCAAACTCAAATGATTCAGTACCAAAATAATTATTAAAATATATATCGTTTTCATTTTGAAGCCATATTTTCCTTCAAAGCCATTTCATAAGCTTTCTTTAAATTGCAGACTAGTTGGCATCTTACAGGAATGTTTCTAGCACAGATAACATCTGAGAAGCACTGTTAATGTGGTAAATGAGCACCGGTGGTCTGTAATGTAATACAGCCTTGACATTGTCTTGTGTGCCATTAGTTGTAGAGAAAATGTAATTTAAAGAACTACACCTTAAAACCCACTAAGTGTCTGGCTGTGTCAACATTGACTAGTGGATGATTTACTATGAATTCTCTTCAAGGTACTTTTTCTCCTCTGACTTCAATTTAATGCAGTCATCTTGTGTTTCTTGCTTTACTCAGCCGGGAAGACTTCCAGCGGATTCCAGAGCTAGCCATCAATCCACTGGGAGACAGAATTATCAATGCCTTCTTTCCAGAAGGGTGAGTTCCAACAGAACAGGCACAAAATGTGTAGTTCATCAGAAGTTCCAATGGGACTGAAATGCTGATAATTAAAGCACAGATTTTGGATGTACTAATAACTGAACACCTCAAACTTGTCATGAAATGTGTGTGGGTACATTGTTTCCTCAGCATGTTTGTATTCTGTAATGAGGAACACCAACCTTACAAGACTTCTGTGTGCTTTGTTAGATGACGAACTCAGGCTTCATGTCAGTTTTCTGCTCTTGCTGTGCTGCTAAATGCTTAGAAAGCAAGCAAAGAGCATGTATTTACTTTGGTTCTTAAAGCAGACTTACAGCAATGCTGTTTTATGCTAAGTAGTATTGCAATTACTATTCAGTTTCATTTTTCACCTTTTAGCCTCTAAAGTATACCTTTGTTATTAGATCAGCTTTTTTGTTTCCAGTTTTTGATAACATTTAAGGCCTATCTTATGGCACTTCTAACACAAATCCAAAGAGATTATCAAATTTGCAGTACTCTGTTTTACCTCTCTAGATTGTTCTATGCAATCTGCTCCTGTTCTTGAACACATTTGCCATTACTGATTCATGAAGATTGGAGTGACTGATCAAGTCATAATATAGGCTGATACCAGGCAGACTTTCCTGAGTAGAAAGCAGGAGTCATGGAAAGTAGTTAGATAGCTGGTTCCCACAGTGTTAGAGAAGAGAGCTGTTTGTCAGAGCAGTGAGCAATGGCTACCCCACAAATATGAGCCAAGTGTGACAATAAAGCTGGCAGGGACAATGTACTTAATAACAAAGGGCACAGCACCTGAGCAAGAAAAGCAGAATAGCTCCAGTGCCTTGTCAGGTCAGCCAACAGTCCAGTGGTTGCCAGACAAGTTGACAGGTCAATCCAGACAATAGGGATTCAGATCAGCAAGATATACTGCCAGACTCGGGCACAGCTGCAGGATAGCTCAGGCAAGGGCCAAAGGTGAGGGCTTGAGCTTAAACAGAGCTTGCAAGCAGGGACTGGGGAGTCCTCAGCAAGACTTCTCACAGCTTCTTTTTTTTATACATCATACTTCATAACAGCGTGATCCCAGGTTGGAACTGCACTGTATCAGAGCTGGGTTTGAGCATAGGCAGCCAAACCCTGGGGGGCAGGAGTGGAAGAGTCTGCATGGTCTTGATGCTTTAGACATTCATACTCTCTACTGAAATACAAAACACATATAAGCTATGCTAAAACTGACCTGCTATAATGCTTATGCAGAGAGGACCAGGTGAATTTCCGTGGATTCATGAGGACACTAGCTCACTTTCGACCCATAGAAGATAATGAAAAGAGCAAAGACCAGAATGGACCAGAACCACTGAACAGCCGAAGTAACAAGCTCCACTGTAAGAAATGTGACCCTTTCTATAGGAGCAATTATTTTTCCTTTTTTCTGTGAAGGGAGTAAAGTGGCTTGGGGTCTTCTGTGCAGCTATTTGCTGTAGAAGGATATAGAATCATAGAATAGTTAGGGTTGGAAAGGACCTTAAGATCATGTAGTTCCAACCCACTTGCCATGGGCAGGGACACCACCCACTAAACCATGTCACCCAAGGCTCTGTCCAACCTGGCCTTGAACACCACCAGGGATGGGGCATTCACAACTTCCCTGGGCAACCCATTCAGGTGCCTCACCAGTAAAGAGCTTCTTCCTTGTATCCAGTTTAAACTTCCCCTGTTTAAGTTTTAACATGATTAAATGGCTTGCATGCAAAGTTACTTGAGATTTAAAAGCACCATCCCTTATGTGAATAGTCTTTTCTGCCATTTTCTTCAGTCTTCTGTATAATACAAGGCTTTTTCCTTACCTTCAGCTGAGTACTTTCTTTAGCGTTTGGATGACTGCCTACAGTATATGAGCAGACTGCTCTTGCTCACTAATCAAAGTTGGCAACAGTTCTCAGAGCACTTAAAATTTCTGTCTTATCTCATGCAGAATATAGTTGAAGAGAATTAATGGTAATGTATAAGTGGTTGGCTCTGAGGTTAAAGTACTGAAGGTATCTTAATGGTAATTATACTTCCATGACTTGGGGCTTTGTAGAAATACCTCTGCAAGCAGAGTGCTTCTGAAAGTATTCTTACTGAGTACTTCACTAAGTTTTTTCATTTCTTAGCGATAATTTTATTCCTGAATGCAGTAATAACACTTTTATGGAACTGAAAATGAATTTTTATGGGGAATTGAAATTCTAAGCTAATTCTCTTAAAATAACTTAGGAGCACTTTTATAGATACATAAATACATTGTTACAAGAAAAATAATAGCACTTGAATTAAACTGCTCATTCTTTTCTTCCCTGTAGTTGCTTTTCGGTTATATGATCTAGATAAAGATGACAAGATTTCCAGGGATGAGCTTCTTCAGGTAAATAGCACAGGGCTGCTTTGAATGACTCCATCGTAACCTTCTGTGTGATTACCCTCTTCATTCTAAATGGATGTGGATTTCCAACAGTCTTCTCAAAAGAACTCCTGAAGGAATTTGGTGACAAAAGTCTCATACCATATCTAAAGCTTTAAACCAGAGATAAGACATTCATCTCATTTGGTAGCCTAGGCTGTTCTTGCAGACTGGGAACGCTAGACTCAGAGCTAACCAGAGCGTTAGGCTAAGCAGATCCTATTGGAAATGATACCTAAATATCCAACAAATACACTAAGCCCCTTAAGAACTACCTTCTAATCTAACAGGACTTCACAGGGATAGTCACTGAGGTGGATTAGGTTGTTTTGCTGATCCTCTGTGCAGCCTCTCAAGAGAATAAAACTTCTTGAAATTGCAGCAAAGGTAATCAAAGTTCATCAGTGCTGCATATATACATGAAACTAGGCTTGAGCTAGGAGTAATTACATGCTACTAATCCTGGGAAGCAGACATGGTAATTTGTGGTTCCTGCTGTAGGACAAGGATTTGCTTTTGACTGAAATTGCCCTCTGTCTGCACAGGAAATACTAATTGTAGAGAGTAACAGCAGTTATCGTTTGATACTTAAAAGCTTCCTGTAGGCAAGTATCTCAAACAGCAGATACTTGATTAAATGTTGGTATGCTTTGTGGGGAAAAATACGGACAAAAGCATTTGATCAAAACTTCCTCATTCCTAGTTCCAAAAGCTTTCTCGTACTCTGCGTCTTCTTGCTGTCTAGTGAAAAAGTAGGATTCTTTTTCAAAGGTGGCTACAAAAGGAAACTGTCTTTCTTGAAAGCAGTGATGTACATAGGACAAGTAGAAGTCTATCTAGAAATTATTTCCATGAAAATCCTCTAGGGCTGTTCTTGTAGGGTGTTACTTTGACAGTGTACACAAGAGAAATAGCACTAAGAATACTTCTGTTCCTATATCAATAATGGTTATTTTATTTGCATTTAAAAAAAAAAGTAATCTAGGGACTTCTGTATGTTTCAGGTATTACGGATGATGGTTGGTGTAAATATTTCAGATGAGCAGCTGGGCAGCATTGCTGACAGGACAATCCAGGAAGCTGATCAAGATGGAGATAGTGCCATCTCCTTTGCAGAGTTTGTAAAGGTTGGTAAACTACATTGTTAATGACTAAAGGAAACTGCTCAGTAATGGGCAAGTCATTCAGACTTAAATGAAAATGGAAATTGAGAGGAAGTTATTCAAATAGTCCTGCCTGAATTTGGGCAAAGCAAGCTTTCTGCTAGCTCTTTCTCTTCCCATCTTCATTAGGACCTGCCTTTTTTTATATATATATATATATTGTCAGGATACTAATAATTAGTCCATGTGTTTCTTCATGCTCTTACATGAAGTAAGATATGCTGTAGCTCTTGCAAGCTGTGGCACTGAATACACTGCAGAATTCTCACTTTTTGCAACCACTTCTTTCTACAGAAGTAGCCTGACTAGTAGTTACAACACAGTCATTCTGCTCTGCTTGTGCTGATCAGTGTTCACTTGTAGATTTTTATCTGTTAGCAAAACAACTCATATTAGCATTGAAGTTCCTAGCTCTAGTCCTTTGAATGATATCTTTTGTTAGTCAGAAGTAGGTAATAGTAAGGAGCTATTATATAGTCAGTGGAGAAAGCTGTCCTATAGCAGAACAGTTTCAACTACCTAATGGGATGGCATTGACAAAAGGAACCAGACTTATCTTGGAGGTGGACAAGAGGCAACAGAAACAAGTTGCAACATAGGAAATTCTGGTTAGCTATGAGGAAGACTTTACCAAGAGGATGATCATAGCTTCTGAAGATGGAGAACCTCCTTCCTGGAGAAACTTGACTTAACAAGGCCCAAAGCAGCCTGATCTAGATGGCTCTGCTTTACGTAACAGTTGAGGGAGTTGGATTAAAAAACCTCAAGAGGTCTTTTCAAATTTAAGTTCCTCTAATCTTGGAACAGTGAAGTCTAATGCCTGAAACAGCCTGGAGCAGGCTGTCTTTGTACCTCAGTGTTAATAGCAATTCAGCGAATGAAGTTGTCAGCTTGGTTTTACAATTATCTGTGTTAGTGATGCTGTGCTCTTGATTTTAGCTCTTCATTGACTGCTCATGCCCCTTCCTCTGCTCCATTCTTCCTTCTGTTTCCTGCCTGTGCATTCCCACACAATCTAATTTTGGGAATGCAAGCCTTTCTGGGCTTTTGGCAGACTGAAACTGCATTAGTTACATGTTGGTTGACAGCCTTCGTCCAGCTTTAATGGCTGAAGTTGCTTTCCTTGGAATGACCTTAGTCCAGAATGAAAAACAGCAGTGTGTAGATGAAAGACTAGCATGCCAAATTGAAGACATCCCACGTTCCTGCCCACTTCCTCTACATTAGGGTACGAAACCTTGTAGGAGAGAAGTATGTACAGTAACTTAAGTAGCTGTTTCTGAATTTCATTGCAGGTTTTGGAGAAAGTGGATGTAGAGCAGAAAATGAGCATTCGATTTCTTCACTGATGGATGGAGAGCCTTGTTTCTTTCTACCCCTACTATATAATAAGTAGAACTTCATTTTCTCCTTAGCACCTTCACTCAGAGCGTTGCTACTGGTGCATATACACTACATCTCCAACCCCTCCCTGATTTGTTCTACCAATGTGAACATTCCCTGTGCATCAGGAACAAAGGGAAATGGCTGCCATGCAACTTGGAAATGAGCATTTTTTTAAATATTTTCCTTAATTTTTTTTTTTTAATGCTTTCTCCCTTGTCTACTCCTGCACTCCTGTTTCAGCAAAAATGCCTCTCCTTGTGTACTGCTGTTTAGTCTACAAACTGATTCTTCTGAGCTTTGAATCAGAATGGAAAATGGGAGCATGCCACAGAAATGCCCTCTGAAACATTTTGGAGACAAGCATCTACTCCGATCCTAGGTGCAGTGATAACAATTCACTTTTTGCTTCCAGTAGCAATACCACATTACAACTGCCTTCCTCCCCCCTTTCCCATTTGGCTCTTTACATGCAGATTTGTTTCTTCCAAGTCTGCCTTTTACTTGAGGACTTCTCAATTTCTACTGCTTCATTGTACAACTAGCACTGAATGCATGATGATAGCCTAGAGTACTTTAAAGTGCTGTGAATAGATTTTATTCTTTGTAGGATGAATTCACAGGGACAATAGGAGAACCTGTGGCAGAGACAGGCTGTGATGTCCTCATAAAGAATAGGAATTCTGCACTAAGTTGCTTAAATTGTTCCAGTAGCACATGCAGAAACTTGGTTTTGTCCTTGACAGCCACTGGACCCTAAGTACCCTCTCCAGGTTACTTTGCTTTAGGATCCCTCCTCTCAAAAGGGTTTTTTGCCTCTGGAAGTGTAAACTTGTTTACCAGTGTACATAATGCAAGAAAACTAGTCATGCCAAAATCTGGATTTGCAGTTCTGTCACTGCCCCTGGAAATGGTGTGAACTGGGTTGTTTTTTTGTTTGATTTTTGTTTTTTTTTTTCTTTTTTAATCATAGTGGCCTATAAATAATTATTTACATTTTCCAGTATGGAAGTCCTGGTGTGTTAGATTTGTGTTGAGGGTAGAGGCTGTATTTATGAAAGCTCTGGCTTTCATTAATACATAATATGTTCTTTCCCAAATTACATGTTCTTTCCCAAATTATATTCTTATCCCAAATATTTTAGGATATATTTCTACACAAATCTCTTAGCAAGTGTAAGATGATTTCATACTGATAATGTAGTGCTAAAAGTTCAAGTGGTAAAGATCATTGAAGATTCAATAGTATCATAATTTTCTGTGGCTGATCATCTCATCCAGTTCAGCTGAAGCATCCTACAGTCTTGGGAGATCCTTCCAATAAAACCAAAAAATCCAGGAGCTTCTTTGTTGAAGAATTGGTGTTATAACTGCTACTCTATGTCATGTGTTAACATTTCTATAAATACTTACCAGTCTCCAACTACTCTCAAATGTGCATTTCCTTTTTTCCCAGTTCTTTTAATCATCACTTGTGTTAAAGAATAACATGCAAGTGTCTGGAGGGTTTTTGATTTAAGGGATGGAAAAGTGAAATGTTGCCCTTCGTTGTTTTGCAGAGTGCAGCACAATTCCAGGAAAAAAATGTAAATTAAAAACTTCTACTCTGTATGAGAGAGGAGCATTATAGTTTTATAACAGTGTAATGTAAAATAGGAATTAACAATGTGAAAAGACTGAAAGTTAAACGTGTTTTTAGGCTTTGTGATCTGCTTAACAATAGGTGTTGCGCTCTTCTGGCTATATAGTTGTAACCTACAGTTGTGCCTTATTGTCCCAGTGAGACTGGAAACTGTATTTATCAATCCATAAATAAACCTTCCACTGTATAAACACTATCCCGCACCCCCCCCGAACTATCCTTTAATCATTAGAGAAGTTAAAATACCAGTAGAGTGGTGCTAGCAGGCCTTACAAATCAATTTCTTATCAATGAGCTTATTTTCAGCGTATTAATGATCCTTTGTTTGGCCGGTAGAGTGGAAGAAACTAGTGCAAAACGTGAGCCCGAGAAGAGAGGGCACGCACCCATACTACTGCACTGTGGATCATGTAACAACGGGAGCTTTACACCTCTCCGTGGCTCCAAATTAGGCTTTCTTTTTTTCCTCTCTCCACAGTGTTACAACATTGTTCTAATTAAAGGGTATATAATATCAATGGTAGTGATGTCTGTCCTTACAAGTCCCCACCTTAGACATCAGGTATTCCTGCTAATGTGCTTTAGGGTGAACAACAAATACTCTAATAGGAGTTTTAGAGTAGAGATCTTCAATTTGTTAAAGTTGTTCAAAGCTGAACTGTACACAAACAAGATTTCCACAACAGTCGTACTTTTTTTGTAGAAATTAAGTCTTAGGATAAAGGTCATCTGTGAAGGTTAAAGTCTGGAAAAGGAATAAGATTATCCTTATGGATAAGTGTGGCATGAGGTCTGTGCAAAACAAAATATTGTATTCAGTACAGCATTTGACTCATGAAAACCAGAACTAAAAATAATGTTAGTTTCCATAAGCTTACAATGGAAAATTACTTTCAAAGTCTGCTTTCAGTTCTTTTAATTGCCAACTTCGATTGGACAGAGCCTTGGGTGACATAGTCAAGGTTGAGGGGTCTGTGCCGATGGCAGGGGGACTGGAATGAGATGATCTTAAGGTCCTTTCCAACCCAAACTATTCTGTGATGCTGTAAGTAAGTGTGTGGATATAATACTTAAGTTGGGAGCAGTGTTTCACTTTAAGCTGCCAGTCTGCACTGAAACGCTACTTAGTAGCAAAGTGCGCATTAAATGGATTAAGGTTTCAACTGAAAGGGCTTGTAGTAGCTGTCTGCGATGAATCACGGTTAGACGGGGGTGTTTCTCCAGAGTTTTCTGAATGGGTAAGTACTCCACGCGGTTCAACGCAGCCACCCTTCAGCTTGAAGTGTAAAATTACCGCTGCTTAACGAAAAAAGAACAATAGTTTCTGCCGCTGACACAGACCCTGTGAGTGAAGGCTGTCGTTCAGACAGCCGCGGGCGCCGATGGGTCCGGCGGGAATCGGCGCGGATGGCGGCCTGAGGCACATTGCTGCGCAGTGAAATGGAGGACGGACGAGCGGGCCGTGCCTGCGGGCCGTGCCTGCGGGCCGGCAGCGCAGGGGCTGTCCTGGACATGGCCCCCTTGCCTCGAGTGCCGGCCGGCACCGTGGGCAGGCGGGTGCTGGCAGAGCTACCAGACCGGGTCCCTCGCAGACCTTTAACCCTCCCGCCCGCCGGGCCTGGCCGCAGCCCCTCACCCCGTGAGCGGCTCCTTTAAATCCGCCTGGAGGTCACCGCAGGCTTCGCTCGGACCGGCCCTGCTCGCGCGGCTCGAGCCAATCCTTTTCCAGGTGTGTGCCTTCCCCGGGGCCAATCAGAAAGGAGAGTCTTGGAGGCAGGAGGCCAGCCTCCGTGATGGACTGCTCTGGTGGCCAATCACTGCCCAAACTGGACGACTGAGGCATGCGTGCAGCACCCAATAGGCTTGCGGCTGAGTAGGCGGGCCCGGCGTCGCCGGGCGCTGCGAGCCCCCCGCCGGGTGGCCGCGGTGAGGAGGGGAAGATGGCGGAGTGAGAGGAAGAGGAGAGGAGGCCGGGGCCGGCTGCGGCCCCGCGGCCTGGGCCGTGCTCAGGTGAGTGCGGCGGGGAACAACGGCGACCTTCGGCGCGGAACCGCACCCAGCCAGGTGCCTGGTGCCCCGCTCCCTGATTGGGCTGGGTCCGGATGCCCGCGCGCCCGCCTTCCCGTCCTGCTCCGTGATTGGGCTGGGCCTGTTCGCGCCCGCCGCTTCCTGAGGCGGCTGTCCCCCGGCGCTCTGTTCCGCGGTCCCGGGCCGGGCCGGTGAGCGCAACTGCGCGGCTGCCTCCCCGCCCGCCCGCCTGCCTCACCTGGCAGCGCGGCCTCTGTGCCGGGGAGAGGGGGATTCGAGTGTGTGTGGGTTCCTGTGGTGACGGCGGGTGCCAGGCGGGGCGCGGCGGTGGGAGCGTGCCCCTTCGACCCGGCCACCGCCTAGAAAAGTCCGAGCAACTTCGGAGCTGGGGCGAGGCCGTGAGCGGGCGGGCAGCAGTGCGGGGCTGTAGCAGATGGCTGGGAGGGAAGAGCCTGCCGCCCGCACAGCAGAACGTCCGGACTAGCTGGGAACAGCCGGAACGCGGTTTCGGCGAACAGCTGCCGCTGGTAGCGACCGTGCAGACGAGAACCCAAAATGCAGCATCCGAAATTAGCCTGTTTGTCTCCGGCTGCAAGCATAGCGCTGGGTATAGTTATCGTTGTTATTCCTGGAATTTGTGTGCTGGATGAATTTGGCTAATTTGAATAGTTTTATCCTTCTTCTCTGATGTCTTTATGCTGTAGTGACACAGGCATGCCCAAAGGGGGTGGCTTCTAAGTCGTTTGACAAAATCAGAACGTGCAAGTGGTCTACAACGCAATACAGAGAGAGAATAGAGGAATTAATTGTAGCCTTATGAATTCTTGTGATTGTTGGTAGTGAGACAAAAAGGGCTTTGCATGTGCGGAAACATAAAACCAGTGTCTCCTTTTCGTGTTAGTAATGTGCAGGTTAGGTATGCCCTGAATGTTTCAAAATTATTGGAGGTATTTTGTACTACGGAATGGAACTTGGTTTAAATTAAAAAAGGAAAGGCTTCTTACTAAAATAATTACTTTCACTAGCCTGAAATTCCTGATGTGCTGTATTTGATAACAAGTCTTTAAATCTAGAGTTTGCAATAGAGTTTGAAGTGACTGCGTTTTCAACGTGCATATCAGGTAGAAGTAAGAAATTGAAGTGGTTAAATGAGAAGTATGGCTTTAGATCTTGTGGGGATGTGGCATTATCGTACATAATGTAATAATGAATTAGTTGTTTGTAACTGGTGAAGTAACTCAAAAAGAAATACAGTAAGCATATTCGACACAACCAGTTCCAAAAGCAGTAGCTGCTTATGAGAAAAATTTCCTAGGGTATGTTTTACTGGTTTCATGTGCTGTATTATTCACGTAGTAACAGTAATAGCAGCTTATGAGCAACATAACATTAAGGCACAATATGCTGCTGATGATGAATATTCCTACGTATGTGTATCTGTGTATGAATTGGTAAGATATACCAGGGGATTTGCGTTTGGCATATTGCATGTAAAGATATTTCTGCTTTATGTTATCATTAAAAGAATAATAACCAATCAACTTTCTTTCAGAGGAAGTTGTACGCTATTTTTGCAGTAAGTAAATTCAGTTGGATTAATATTCGTTCTTAAATGCTTTGAATTCACAAGAGCTGAGGGAAGTATCTTAGAAAGACAAGATGAAACAACAAAGATAGAGTTTTCTGTTACCCTGATCTGTGTCAGATCAGCTCTCTCCACTGCTTTACAGTCTTGCCCATAGCGCTGTGAGTCTGCAGTGTGAAGATTTGCACGAATAGGGCGTGCATCTTATGCTGGTGACCCGTCGTTCAGGGGTGTCAAAAACCGTGGGCCAACGAAGGGTAAAAATTCAGACCGAGCCTCTGAAGAGTCTGGAGTATCTCTTGAGCGCCTCCCACGTTCATTCTTAAAAGCTAGAAAAAGACCAGTGTTTGAAGTCAGCTCTGACATGCCGGAGCTTATGTGAATGCAAGATGTGTGGACTCGTGCAGTCTTAAAGAGAAAATGATGATGTCCCTAAAATAGGATGTGAAGGGTTGTTTCTTTGCCTGAACAGTATTCAAGGAGCATGTTACTACAGTTTGTGTGTCATGGGGTAGAAAGCTCAGCTGTAAAACAGCCTTTCCTGTTTTCTCTGCCACTGTAAGAAGTACTGTTCAATGTTGTACTGTCAGTGTAACAGTTACCCATTGGAAACCTCATAGGAGGGGAAGGTGGTTTTATTAAAAATATAAAGCGAAGAATAGCACTCACTTAAGCTTGAAGTCTCCTGAGTGGCAGAATGTGTCCTGTGCCCAAGATATCTGTCCACCAGACAAGCACCACAACAGGGGTGTTCAAGCTGTGTGCCCAGTGGTCTGGTGCTGTGTTGCTCATGTCCAGATGCTAAGTCTGCGATCCCTTACAGGTGACAAGGGAAATCAGCTGGCAGGTCCTTATGTTTTCTGGCCTCTTTCTAGGCTGGCCACTATTCTAGGTTTCAGATATGTCTTCGTGTACCCTTTTGAAGGTGATAGTGGTCTCTGTCTCTAATATGCTGCTGGTGTCTACCATCCAGATCTGGTGTCTTCTGAAGTTGCAGGGGGATGTGCTGGGATCTTGATGACCTGCTAACCTGGGTGCTGTTAACACAAGTGCTTTTGAGAGCCCTATTCCTGTTCGATGTACCTTTTGGTGCCCCCACACTCAGGCATTCCTGTTCTTAATGGGGCTGGTTCACCTCCCATATGAAGACAGCCTGAGAAAATTTGGACACTTCAGACTGGAGAAGAGAAGGCTAGGTGGAGACCTCGTAGCAGCCTTCCAGTGTCTGAAGGGGGCCTATAAGGATGTTGGAGAGGGACTCTTCATCAGGGACTGTAGTGATAGGACAAGGGGGTAAACAGGAGATGTTTAGGTTAGTTATCAGGAAAGCTCTCTCCAGTCATACCAGTCTTAGCCTTTCTATTATAGTTCTCTACATTGGGTTTAGATGACTTGTTAAAAGTTAACTAGAAAGTGGAAGGAGCACAGAGGCAGCTAATTTTTTTTTTTTTTTTTGCAGGACTGTAAGTTACTTCTATTGTATTTTGTGCTTCTAATTTAAGCTTTTGTCATTATCAGCTTTTCAGGTTAAATTTGACCCTTTTTAAGCCATGGGAGAAATCTTAGTGGAGTTGTGGTTTGCAGCACTAATTTTGCTTTTTGTATCTTCACACATCACCACAGTTAACTTCTAAGTTCTTGTGTCTTTTTACCTAAACCTGTTTCTAGATCTTTCCTTACTTCTCAGGCTGTAGGGAAGAGATTATCTTCTATGTCCCTGTTAATACTGCTCATCTCCTGAAGCATTTGCATGTGTGGGAGAGAAAGATAGTATTTTGGAAAGCTGGATTTGTTGGATCTGAGTTTCTGCTTACCGGTATAATTAAAACGAAGGGTACCTTAAAAAGGAGTGTGTGGGGTGGGGTGAAACTCAGTAACATAATTGTAAGCTGTTGATTTTAGTATAGTTTCCAGTTAAATGTACTGCTTATATCAGAACATTGAGTTTTTTTCCTCTCTTCTCTTTTCCCCCTTGGTGCATTGATCAGAGAGCATGTGGATCTATACCAAAAGACAAATGCTGCAGTTTTGGTGGTAAATTTATTTATGAGATACTTCATCTCTTTTTTTAGCTTTGAAATTGCTGAAGTTGCCTGTATCCAAGAAGTTGTCTGTCTGAATGTGAGATTTGAAGTTCATGGAAACTTAGCCTTTAGTTATGGTACTTAAAAAAAAAAAAAAGCATGAATGGGCAGTAGGCCAAAAATTAATAAACATAAAACTGTCTGAATTCTTATCATAATAAGATTAATATATTGTTGAGTTATGTGATAATGTAATTGAAATTTCATAAATATTTCTTGTCCTAGTTCAATTGATAGTATGTTCAGTAAGGTATGAAACAAGAAAAATAGTTCCTTTTTTTTTTTTGTTCATAATTTCCATTGGCTTTTAAGTGTAGAGTTGATCTTGTCACCCTCACTTTCAGTGCCTGCTAATTTTCAGTAGCCTTGATTTATATCCAGCTGCATTTGCAAGTTCTGTTGCTACGAGTGTGAACTCTGCTCCCACACAAGCTATGAAAGTCTGATAGAAAGCGTATCAAGCAGAGCAGTTAAAACCCAGGGCATGCAAAGGCAGTGAACTTGTTATAATGAAAATTAAAAATAAAGTAGATTAAAGCCAACTAAATTTCTGCATTGGATAAATCATTCCTTTGTATGAGTTGCTTTAAGTGTCAACTCCTGCTTTCTTATAGTACCCCTTACTACAGTATTTAGTTTAGTTAATTCAGAGCTTTAGAGTAAGTGAAAAACAACCCAACTTTTCAAAGATTGGCCTTGGGAATTGTTCCTCTTCTGATAAGTAAGTTTGGGGAGCTCCTGATAACTGTTCCTTATCAAATTAATTGGCTTGTGAATCATTTGCTGTTTGTTCCTCAACCTCTCAAAGCGGAATACTGCTTGGCAGGTGCTTGAGGGAGGATTTGAGTAGGAAGGGTCAGAATTGATAACATGAGAACAGAGTAACTACCCTGAAATTCTGGGATAGGGGTTATCTCTGGATTTTCTGAAGGCATAGGGCCCTGATGCTTGCAGAAAGGCTGTGTTGTGCAGGCGGTGCTTTGGTGAGGATACTGGGAAGTTTTAATAATGTAATTACCGCATGATGAAATAGCTCTGCCTGTAGCAATCCATTATTCTTGCAGTTAGGTTGTCTGCGCAGTATCCTGGAGAACAGTCATTAGGCTTCCTTGCTACAGTATTTTGTTATTAATGTGAAAGAATTTCCTGCCTTACTGGAGTCTGAAATAGTGTATAAGTTCCGATGAAATGTGTGTCTGTTGATGGTAGCTTACCATAACAAGGGCATTTATCTTCAGAATATGCACAATTAAAAAATTATTTTGGTAGTGGTGTATACTTCATGCTCCAGAGATAGTCAGTTGAGCATGGGCTGTGGCTGTTCTCAGTAAATAGAAACCAAGAAATTCCAGGGAAAAGGGGAATTTGGTGCTGTGTAAACTACATTCTGTGGAATGAACGATAGACATGATTTCATTCCAGGGAGCAGAATGGTTTCTGAGCAAAAACCTTTGAGGCATATGCACCTGGAATACTGCGCTCAGTTCTGGGCCCCTCATTACAAGGAAGACATTGAGATGCTAGAGCAGGTCCAAAAAAGGACAACAGAGCTGGTGAAGGGTCTGGAGCACAAGTCTCTGATGGGGAGTGGCTGAGGGACCTGGGGTTGTTCAGTCTGGAGAAGAGAAGGCTCGGGGGGACCTTACCACTCCTTGCAGCTGCCTGAAAGGAGGTTGTAGTGAGGTGGGGCTCTGTCTCCCAAATAACAAGTAATAGGACAAGAGGAAATGGCTTCAAGGTGCACCAGGGGAAGTTGAGATTGGATGTTAGGAACTATTTCTTCACCTAGAGTGTGATCAGACATTGGAACAGGCTTCCCAGGGCAATGGTATTATCACCATCCCTGGAAGTGTTCAAAACCTATGTAGTTGAGTCCCTCACTGACATGGTTTAGTGGTGGACTTGGCAGTCCTGGGGTAATGGTTGGACTTGATAACCTTAAAGGTCTTTTCCAACCTAGCTGGTTCTGTGATTCTATATGCTGCCTCTCAGCCTGTTCTTAATTCAGGTTTGCTGTCTTGGGTCTTTCATGCTTGGGCACAGTTCACTCCACCATCCTTTCCCTTAACTAAAGGAAGGGGGTGGCTATGATAATTTGAAAAGTAACATCAACATTTTTTCTGTAGAAGGTTTGAAAACATCAACTGATTCCTGGAAAGCACAGCTAATCTTTTGTGCCTGTGCACATAATCATGTATGAATTGAATAGCTTCCTAGATGCAAATTTAATCTCATTTGTTCATCTCTCTCTAGGCTCAATGAAGATAATGTGGATTGATCAAAAATAATGGTGAGTAAAGACAGAGGTACTAAGTATCAGGTATTAACTTGTCAACTTTGTTGGTTGATTTAGGGTTTTTTAGGCTTTTGGGTTTTTGTTTTGTTTTTTGTTTTGTGTCTGTCCAAAGAAGTCAGTAATTGAGATTTTAATATTTCATAGGATACTTTTTGAGAAATGGAATGTTACTACAGTGCCAGCTTTCAGCTTGGCTTTCAGTTGAAAGAACCTTGATTTATCATATATTCTAACAGGAATAAATGCTTTAAAGTTAGACAGTTCCTGTCCCATGATTTCCTTTTGCTCTGCTAAGAGACACCAATTGTGTGACTATTAACTTGGAGTAGTTATCTTAAAAGTTGTATTTGTTAAACAGTAGGACTGAAAGAATGATAACACAGATGTCAATTATCAAATAGAAAGAAGTACATTCAAAATGTCTAAGGGTGATCAACAACCTGTGGAGTTTTAATGTATTTTATTTTTCCATTGAGTGAAATAAAGATATTTTGGTAGTTAAGGTGTGTAATAGTGCTATATTCTGTTCTCAGCTCTGCCACAAACTTCTGGCATGTTTTGTTGCAGCTCTCCATGTCTGTTTTCCTCCATCTTCATAACAAGAATAAGACTTTCCCAACAGTGTGGTGGTGAAGCTCATGATCAACTGAAATATTTGAGTGCCTCAGAGAGAATGTGATGGTGATGTGTGCTCTATTTCCATTTCATGATCTACTTGCCGCTTTTAACATAGGAGTTGAAAATTGTCATGGGAAGATTATTTCTGAACTTGATCAACTAAAGGGTTAAGGTAATTGGAATAAGACAGACAGAGAAGAGAGGAAGGGGTTAGAAAATATGCTGTATCCTCATGTTCTTGTATGGAGAAAGAGAAACCAAAGGAAAAAAAATTCTCTTTCACATCTCTCTTTGTAGTACAGGAGAATGATAATAAATATACCTGGCACTGGAGCACATGCATGTTTCCTTCTAACTCACGCTGGCATCAAACTTAAAGCAAGAAAACAAAAATCGTGTCTTAACAGATGCTGTGACTCAGTGATACCAGGTGGGTGTCACCGTGAAAAGCAAGGAGATCAGGGACAAGATGAGTTAGGGTTACTAGTACCTAGTCTGTGTGATCTTCCAACTGTCATTTAGTGCTATTTTTTCTCTACAGCACTGTCAGTTTTGTGATTAACTAGGGGATAGTTTATGGTGTTTCTTTGAATTGTGACCTGCCATAGCATAACATACTTTGTGTATGCAGTTTGCATCCAGGTACTACCCCAACATTGTGATGCTGGGTGTTGGAGACACAGTTAAGGAGCCCTGTACCTAACTAACAGTGGTATATTTTTGGATGCAATGCTCCTGAGTGAGCATAGATTTCAGCATTTCTGTAGCATTTCCTTAGCCAGTTTATGGAGATCTACAGTTACATAAAAAACCTTAGAGCAAGGGATTATTGCAGTTTGGGAAGCCAGCTAATTTTGTCCATTAGAATCAGGCTTTTAAAGTAATGAACCAGTAGGCATGTTAATGTTGAATGTATTTTATTCTGATTGCTAATCTACCCCTCTTTTTTTATTTTGGGATTCCAGATCCTCTCCTGACATTCAAGAAGGTGGTCCTGTTGCTTGCTCGTAGGCTGTGAAGTGTTGATGTTTCTCTTCTAGCAAGCAAAAACCTGTCCTTCACTTCCATGGAGCTGAACGAACAAAGATCTCTTCGCTTCTTGTTTCAACCATCTCACCCAACATTTGATTCACCAGATGACTTCTCCCACAGAAGTACCCCATCATTTTATCACAACTCAAAAGCAGAGTAACAGAAATCAGCAGTTGTTTCCTGAAGAAATGTCCTCTGTGCAAGCTCTTCATCCAGCTCTTGGCATTCTGTTTTAAAATAAGAAATATTTTGTAATCAGGTTCAAGTGCAAGCTAGTATTCTTCACTGATACCTCCTTCATTTTAGGAAGGTTAAGTACTTCACTGTGTCGTATTGGAAGTCCTAGCAGATAAAGTGTCTGCAAACATTGCTGTTTCAAGCTGTCTTGATATACTTAAAAAAATGCAGTAGGAAAAACAGAACGTATTTTCTGCTCTGACATGAGGAAGAAACTTACCAAGCCATTGGAGATGTCCCATACAGGTATTTTCTAGTCCAAAACCCAGGCTTGACTTTGGAGATAGATGTCTTTGATGTCAACTTGCATAAAGCATCTAGTGCAGAGGAAAAAATGCAGAATTACCTTGTCTGTACTGTGTAAATGCCTTGACCAAGGCTGTGATCAAAATATATATTTGCCTGTCTAAACCTGATGTAGGTGCTGGATATGAAGAGCTTTCACCAGAAGGAGAAATTACTCTGCAGCATTTAATTTTTGGCAAAGAAAAGTGAAGCTTTAAAGGCCTCTGGGGTAACAAAATAATGATTAGGTTTATGTTAAATCATTCCCCCCTCTGTCTTTTCATGACTCCTTAGCTGCAAAAGGAAGAAACCCAGGAACATGTGGTAGAAGAAATGGGGCAGAACTTCTTTCTTTATTAAAGAAACTAACTTCTGGTGGGATAGAAGAGACCAGAGAGGTAAAGTTGCAGTTTATCCACTTGACTTCCTTGGCACAGTTTGAGTTTTCAATACTGCTGATGGAATCAGTTTTTTGATTCTTCTGTGACTCAGAACTGACGTGACCTGTGTGTTACCATCTATAAGGTAGAAACAGGCCCAAGAGAACAGGCTGTTACCACGTAAGAGGGGTGATTTGAGAGAGAAGAAATACTTAGGATGGGCCTTTTTTGGTTCCTCATATTCTTTCCCAAACTAAGATGCAGTCTGTTGTTCTTATGTTTACACAAGGTTCTTTGTCTCCGTCATTTGTGATTATATAGGATGTTTTCTGTCATTCTGAGATGGGAGTGTATGTTGATTATGTGCTCCCTGCTGTGGTATTATATATGGGAAGTAGGATTTCTTGGCAAAAAGCCCCACAACTGGGATATGTATTCTGTTCCACTTCAAATCTGAAGCTCTTCTTAGTGCACCTTATTCCGAGCTTGTGATTTAGCAAATGTGACTTACTAGCTAAAGTAGTATTTTCAAATCTGAATCAAATAAAGGTATATAAGTTCTGTTAATAGGTTTTGGGAGATGGTAGAGTCATTGGGGGGTGGGGGTGGTGTTTTAGATTTCTTCTTCTGTTTTTGCTTTTAGAAAACTGCTGGACAGAGTCAGACAGCCTGAAAATGGCTGACAAAGCCAACTGAAATCCTTAAATCTTAATGATGGATTGCAAGGGCAGTGTTCTGATACTTAAAATGTAGTCACATTTTATGGGACCAAGTTCCATAGCAGAGTAAGGGCGAGTGTTGATGTTGATCCTCCTTTTCAGAGTTAAGTCTGTGTTTAGACTTGCATTGTAACAATACAATTTAATTATAGCTTTCCCATTTGTTGTTTCTGTGAAGAGCAGACATGAAAGTGGTGGGCAAGACACTGCCTATCAAAGTAATGCCAAATGTAATGAGCACTAAAATTTTGTGTAACATTGCAATGAGCTGTTTGATCACAGTCATGTTGATCTTGATGAGGCAACCACCAGCTTGGCCTGACTGCTTTTAAAAACATAGGATTGCTGAATATGGTTTGAATTTTCTGCCATTGGAGGCTACTAGAAAAGCACACTTCCTTTTAAGGCCTCCTTAGGCTGAAACCAATGGGATTTAAAGTAGATGTCTGTAGAAGCAGGATCCATCTCTAAGTGATGGAAAATACTGTCAATATCGTAAGATTGTAAGTAGTTGGTTAGTATCTGGTGAAAGAAACAGCTGATTTTTAGGTTTGGGAATTTCCTTTTCTTCCTTCTGGTGTTAGGGCTAGCAGTTGTTTCTTGCATAGCTTGATGGCAAAATAATTGGGGGACAGGAAGGTATTTTTGTTTCCTGTGAACATGTATAAAAACAAAGCACTTGTCTGACTGGAGAGTAGCCACTTTAAGCTGTTTGATTTATTTTTCCATATAAATAATCCTCGCCATTTTGTAACCCTGTATTGTAACAAAAAATAGAATTGCTGACTTTTCCTGACTCTTCTCCATGGCAATGTAACATTAGTTTTCAAGTTTCATTTTAGAACAGAATATTTCTAGCAGGGCTAAGGATCTGTGGCTTTCACAGAAGTAATACCCATACATGCCCGGAAGACCCCACTGCCATACATTTCTGGCCAGCACCTTACATAACTGCTGTGTTGGGAAATGCTGCCTCAGCCTACTTTTTATTGTTCCACTTTTATTTCTCTGTTGGTTGGAAATCTTCCCATGTGAAACATGACAAAAACAAGGGGCAAGTGCAATAGAACATATATATATACATATATATATTTTAATACTTGTGGACAAAATGATGTTACAAGTTGTTTGAAAACAACAAAATCACCAATGTCTTCCATTTTGAGATGTGTATAGTTCCATAAGCATTAGTGCTTTGTAGCAAACTGTAGTGCCATGTTAGGATCAGTGCATGAGCCTAGTAGTATTTTTACAATTTGAGTGACAAATTTATTAATAAACAGTGATAATAATGTAATTAACAATAGAAAGGATACAATAGAAATGTCACAAACGTGGTCTAAACATGCAGTATCCTCCCTTTGACAATGGCAACGCTCTCTTTAGAAATGAAACGCCTTTACCTAATGGGCTTCATAGAATCATAGTTGACTTTGTGCTTTTAGTCTATCTGTTCAGCTGCAATAGTAAGCTGCTGTACGTAGGCATCCAGGATTCTCATCTCTTATTGGTGGGATTCTTTTTAGTCTTTGTTTAAGGTGTTTTCTTCCATGTGCAGCTTTTACAATTTTATTATTACCCATCCTGTTATAGACTCAAAAGTATGTTGATGAGTTTATGTGCATTTTGTGCACATCCCTGCTACTGTGAGATCATCTACAATATCTCTTGAGTAATTTTTTTCTTCAGCTATGACTATATAATTGTTACAACTAGTTAAACGTTAACCTCATTATATAATAAGTTGATATTTGCAAAATGCTATCTGCATAATAAAAGTAGAAGGCTTTTATCCATTATTGCAGGAATGGGGAACCTTTCTTGACTGAAGTTCTGTTGATCTATTAGTACCTGTGGTGGATCCTGCATTTACATACATCATAATAAAAGAAATCGTAATAAGGTCAAGGGCTGTTGAAAAACAGCACTGCAGACTGTATCTGTGCAGCAGGCTATCTCAAGCCTATGGGTCAGAGATTCCCCACCCCTGTATTACTGAGAAATCAATATCCTGTATTTTAGGTAACTTCTAGTGTTGCTTTCCAGCTCTAAGCTCAATTTTAATAATTTCTGTCTCTCCCTCTGCTTTTTTTCAGAAGAAAAGTTTAGACCAGGGGAGGTCCAAATGATTTTGCTCTCAATGGGCAGCTTGGACTGGTATGATTCCAGATGTGCGATGCTCTGTGGATGGCATCCTCTGATTTCCTAGGAGAAAGTCTTTTATTTGGTGACAGTATTGCTCTTCACCCATTTCTATCTTTTACAAGAACAAAATTCTCCAACTTAGAGAGGATACTGCATCTTTTTTCCTGAGACCTGCCTGTAAATGGCCATTAGGGGGAGGGAGGGAATGGGTAGCTTTGTTTTGATAAGATGTATCTCTAAAGTGATTAATCAAGAAGCATGTTCTTTGGTGCAAAACCAGTAACCGGGCAGAGTTAATGTATGTAACAGGGAAAGCAAACAAATAGAAACCCCTAAACAACCAACCCTCTGCATCTAATTGATTTCCAAGAAAATTGGTCAGGGGGGCCATTTACAGCAGCGCTCTGGGAACCTTTGCTGAGAGTTAGGTTCAGTTTTCTATGGAAGTAGCTGTACCATTAAATATAGTAGTTTAGTGCTTGGGAGAATCAATTGAAAAATACCTCTGAAACTGGAATGCAAAATAGCACAGTATGTAGGGGGAAGAATCCCTGATGCAAACAAAGCCATAAGATGATTTAATAAGAAAATAGAACTTTAGTAGCAATAACTGTTTTGCATGTGATAGTAAATAACTTGCATTAGCAAGATTGTACAGTAGAATAAGTGGGTAATAACCAAATAAGTTTGTGGCGCTCTGTGCTGCAGGGAGTTGCGTGAAGATTCTCTTCCTGAGAACATGGGTGAATTCCTCTTCTGTTCCTCTCATTGGAGGGAATTTAGCACTTGAATACATTGTTAATGAACCATATATATATATAAAAAAACCAAGAAAGCTCTGTGACAGATCTGAAGAACTGCAGTGAGTGCTGGGGAAGAGCAGACAGTTCTTTTTGAAGGGATAGCTGAAGTTTTCTTCTAGTTTTCTCTCTTTTGTAGCCTAGCACTTCTGTTTCTCTGAGAAGAAACTAAACCCTTCCAAATACTAGAGTGTGGTGAGAACCTGATTCTGAAGTTAAAAGCTTTTATTGTGGGATGTACTTTTTGTTTTCTTTGCTTAAAAAGACCAATTTGAGATGGTCTTTAAATAAGAAGTTAGAGAACACTTGACACTCAGACCATTTGTTACAGCCCCAGCACAACTGTAGAGGTCTAAAAATGTTGCTTTACAGGAAAATAATTTTAGCCTTGCTAAACACTGTTTGAAACCATAATTGATTTCTGTTGATGCCTGAAGTTTTGCAGAGGCAAGTACTGTGGAGCCTCTGGTAAAGAGTTATTGATCTACAGCTGTAGCCTCTGCACCCAGCAAAGTATTTCCTATGAAACAGTTACATAAAAGAGCCACAGGAGTTCTGAAATGTTCATAGTTGATGCTGCTTTCAGTGCAGATAGGTGCAGAGACAACATGGCCTAACAGATAGTAACTCTGTTCAGAACACATTATTACATCAGAGGTTTGAATCTGTCTGGCTGAATTTCTTCTAGGAAGCTGAGGCAGTTTGAAGTCTAACTTCCAGCTGAAAGGAAGCTTCTAGTGTTCTGAAATTATGGAGGTGAAGCCCTTTGGCTCTTCAGAAGTTGAGAATGGCACTATGAGGGCTGTGAGCATTTTTGCAGTATAAAGTAACCAAGATAAGCATGAGAATGTCTAAACTAAGTGTTGGATAATCCGGAATATGTGTATGAAAAGCTAATTGATGTGGGAGGTTGTAATCCACTCAAATTCCAGCTAATGAATTATTGATCAAATTGGCAGCTGCCCATAGGGGACTTTAATTTGATTGTTATCTGCTTGCATTAGAGAAATTATAAATTTATTCTGGTCTGTGGTCAGCAAATACATTTCCATAATAATGAAAACATGGTCATGTTCCTGCTTCAGAAATATGAACTTTGGCTGAATAGAATTCAAGGGTTTCTTCATTCAGAGAAGCATAAGTAGAGGGAGGTAAGGAATCAAGCCTGCTGTAGTCACGCAAGCTATCTGCATATTCTTCCCAAGTCAGCCTTATTATAGTGCTATGTAGTCTGTTGTCTACTAGACTAGAAATCACTGTTCACAGCAGCAAAAGGAATCCCTTTGCCTTTCAGCTCTTGTGCTATGGTATGACTTTTGCTCCAACCCCCTGTATTACACTGCTTCTAAAACTAAATGAAAGTGTTAGAAGCAACCACATTGCAGTGTGGGGTATCAAAGGTGTAATGACCAGTACTGACATGCCTCTTTGCAGAGCTAAACCCAGTTGATTACAAGCTGTTTCCACATCCATTAGTGCTGCTGCAGACGGTCTAGCCAGAACCTGTGTTGGGAATTGCACCTTCAGGAATTGCACCTTCTGCAAGTGAGGGTAATTGTCAAATTCAGAACAAAAGAGAAAGTCTTGCAAAGGGTCCTTGATAGTGAGTGAGAAGAAATTGTATGGAGCTTCAGGACACTGACATGTTACACAAGGGTTACGCTGTCAAGAGCTCGCATTGGTTTTTGGGCAGGAAAAGGAAAAATATGGAAGAACAGTTTCTGATGGATAATCAGGCTTGAAAATAACTGCTTCCTTTGTCCCTAGGAAACTGTCTGGTCTTCCTCCAAAACCAAGGTTCCTGTTTGTTGTTCAGGTGCAGAGCTGCATAATGGCAGTTCAGGTCAGATTCCATTTAATTTATTTTACTGAATGATCTAGCATTGTGCCCCTGTAGTGCTTTGAGTGGCAGACACACAAAGGCCAACAGTTGAACCAGGGTGTCTCATTTAACAGTGCAGAACACCAACAATGGGTTCTTATGTCTCTTCCCTTTCAGTCTGCTCTATACTTTCTCCTGAGTTTTGGAGAAGGTGTCAATGTTCATGATGTAGGCAGGGTGTGTTTCTGTGTCTGAGCCTATGTACCAGGTCATAATATAGACAGGTTCCCTATGGCTTTACAACATCTAAAGTTAAAGATAAAAAGTAATTTAGTGTTTATTGTGTCCTATGTAAATCCTGTGTGCTTCTCTCCACTTCCCCTCCAAGTGAGTGTGCTTGCAGGTCAACTTAAAGGTGTCTAGTTCATAATGCCTTGGGCATGAAGAACTGCATGGAGAAACTGAAGGCAAGTGGCACAGGCCCACAAACCAAATCTTAGAGCTAGTATTCTAATTATGCATGATTCAAAATGTCAAGTGTAACGTAGTTATTACCAGTAAATTGAGATATGCATTTATACATAATAAAGCAATAGGAATTAATATACCAATAGCTTGAACTTCCTGCTTTGATTCTCAGATTTTGGGGTTTTTGGTTTTTAGAGAATGTGCTGCCCTTGTAGAGAAAGGGGCAGAATGTATAGGTAGGGACAGAAGCATGGCACCAAAACTGTAAATCAGGAACTAGGATCAGCAGAACTCGCCTTTATAACCTCTTGTCTGGTTCAAAGTAGTGTCCTGAGCATGTGAAAAGCAGGGCATGGACTAAGCATGTTTAGGGGCGAGATGAGGTTCTCACCTGCTGCAGCTGTAGCAAGGAAAAGGGTGCAGAGTTTCTTACAATGTGCAGGGGGGAGCAACTGGTGGGGGGAAAAAACCAACAAGCAAACAATGGAAATCACAGATTCAATTTGAGTGTAGTATTTACCAGAGAGTAGATAATAAACTTGCTTGTGGTGAGAGAAATTATTTGAAGACTGAAATTAATAAGCACAGTACATACATTTCAGGTGTTGAATAGCTTTTTAGTAGACAGTATTTTCAGGTAACCCTCTAGCCACATAGGCAGCTGTACTGAAGCATACTGGTACCAGCCAGCAATAATGGCACCTGCAGGAATGAACCCGAAAATACTGGTAATCTTCTTGTATAGTTTTTAAGTTCTTTAAAGAGATTTTTAAAAGCAGTAACTGAAATTTGAGCACTGAAGGTCTTTCTCTTTGCAACACAGGTTGCAATAGTGTTGGTTTTCCTTTATTTCACTCTACTAAATAAAAGGGAATTTGGGTGCCATCTTTCTGTAGGCTTTTAGTGTGTTCTCTGAAATACTTCCCAAATCCTTCAGTGGACAGTGAAGTGAATTTCTGCTGGCAGTTTGAAAATAACCTAGAACATGTGGCATAGCCTATGTCACTAATACATTTCCAAGTTTAACCTTGTATTCAGACATGTAGAATACTAGCTTTTAGTGCCGATTTCCATACTTTTAGCTTAGCTTAATTTTGTAGATGGGCTTAACTTGTGCAGAACACTTCTCCATGTACAGGGGCACAGTCCTCTTAAATAGAAGGTATCTTGGAGGAAGAAATTGCTTGTCAAGTTAACTCCTGTTCATGCTTCATAGCCAACCATCCACAAAGCACCGTGATTTGGGTTAGAATGGGGGTTGTGTTTTTCTCATGAATGCTCTTTTTAGACTTAGAAGAATTGCCAAATGAAGCTAGGAATGTTCTAAGAGAAGATGACTATTTGATGGCATCAGAAGTTAGACAAATTGAAGTCCTTTGACCAACTTCTTCAAGCAAAAAGGGAATTTGTAGAGCAAGTTTAGCTCAGCGGTTAACCATGGTCACCTAGTTCTTAGTGGGTATTCTTTAGAACACTTTTGCATGCATTTAAACTTTCATGTTTTCTTTGGTGTGGTGAGTAAGCAGTTGTATCCTTTGCTAATGCTTATTCCCCTCAATATAAAACCTGGGAATAAGCTACTTTAGGATGTCAGTGAAGATGATCTTTTCAAAAGCATGGTACAACAGCAAAGGAGAAGTATTAGTGTTAGATTCTTAAAGATTACTTTAGTACTTAAAGAACAAACTAGAAAATACTTCTTAATGTTGAACTTCTGATGCTGTGCTCACATGGGTTAGTAATTATTGGTGTCGCTAGGAACTATGTATTCCCGTTGCACATGTTTTACATGGTAACAGTGAAAGAATGTCTCCCTGCAAAATCTGATGTTTTTCCAAAAGGCAGCTTGCTTTTATATCTATGCATCTTTGAGGATTTCAAGATAAGATTTTATTCTTTTGACACTGTAAAGAGGAACTGTTTAAAAATGAACTTGGAAACTCTGCACCTGTATACAATTTTTTTAGCAATAAAGCAGCACAGGCTGAGAATGCACTAAAAACTGGACGTGTCATTTGTTCAGAAGATAGATTAACCAACTTGCTAGACACTCCACTTCTGAGATGTGTTTGTACTTGCTATACCTTTGTGCAAACCCAACAATTAGGGCTGAACCTACACAAGCCGTGTATCTGCTGTTGGTCCAGCTGTCCCAACAGACCTCAGGCACACGAACCTCATGACTTCTTGGAAGGCAGCTAAAGAAAAGTTACTCCACTCATACTAAGATGGGCAACATGTCAGTTAAAACTTCAAGGGCTCTTTCGGATGATCCCAGAAAGCTTCTTGCTTGCAGACTGGCTAAATTAATAAGCCGTCTAGAAAACTTTCATCTGCATGGATTGTTTGTTGTTTTGGCAACCCCATGTCCGAATAATTCCTCCTATAGCTGGCATCTCACAACCTGCAGCAAGGCACAACTTCCCTTGCAGTTGGTGTCGAAATGCTGTAATACAGCAGGACACCAGCTCAGGAGGCTGTGCTGAAGAAGCCATTGGCTCCTAACCCTGCTACAACCTTTTCAAGACCTGTTACAGATTGCTAACCCTTAAGGTAGTTTGTAGAAGATTTTTACTGTGATTGTTACTTCAGTAGCATGTTCAACCACCTTTGTTTTATTTTCCAGTTGTTTTGTCTTCACATTCCAGAGAAGACAGCTCTTGGTGAGGCCTGACTTGTTTTCTAAGTGGCTGTATTCACTTAGAGAATCCATCCCTTCAAAGCCAGACTGGCCCTGGCTGCATTTAAAGCTGGAATGCGTTTCTCAAGATGCCTGGTTAGTGGAGATTAGGTCCTACACTAGAATAGGAACAAGTATTCACTGATAAACCATAGATTAAAAGGAACTTAAATCTGGCTGTGGGATCAAACGCTGAATCTTTCAGGAATATGTTTATGAGCATCACTTTGAATTACTGAAGAGAATGAACCTATATATTTTGATTTGTGGCTTATTTAAAACAGAATGCTGTTGGAACACTGCTGCTGTGAATGTCAGCAGGTACACCAGGCAACAAAACCCACATCATTTGACAAAGAGACATGAAGGACCATGGCTTGACTCAGCAGAGTCCTCCCAGTAACAAAGATTAATGTAGTTTAAAAATTTCCCAGCTATTATTTAGCACATGCTCATTATTTGTTTAAATTCATGCTATGTAATGTGAGGAACCATTAATTTAATGCTTCATAATGAAGCGGGACCCAGCAAGATAAACTGATGGGTTTTTCTGCAAACATAAGCTAAGGAAAAGAAGTGGGTTTATGACTCATGATGCAGTGATCTGCACAAAATACATCTCTGAATTTCAGCATTTACAAATTCTTTTCTTTACAGCTGTAAACATAATACTAAAACCCAAAGTAACTGGCAGCTTTCTTTTCCTTTTAGGGGTGGACACTTAGCTAAATGAAGCAAGACAGTTTAGCACTGTTGTACACAGTACAGATGTAAAGCATACAGCAAGGAACTGTCTCAATGCAGAAACCAGACTGAAAGGGCAAAAGGGAGTAGGCCCGTTGTCAGTGGATGGAATAACAAAAGGGCTGTCACTTGGAAAGTAATGCAAAGGTGAAGTTCTGCAATGGAAAACATCTACCTGAGATGCTTGCACAAAATGAGCTTAAATCCCAAGACCTCAGTTAAAGACCAACAGGCCCTTAACCATAACACAATGCAGAAGAGAGTAAACAACACAACTGTAAAGATGTCTTTGTTCTTAATAATAATCAACTACAACAAATCCAAACTGTACATTCATATATGCAGAGACAACTCAAAAGAACAACATTCAAGTGAAGGGTTCAGGATAGAGCTCATTTTAGAGAAGTTACCATTTGTCATTACAGGCAATGAAGCAGATGTCGCAAGAGTGTAATACTTACTTTGGGTAGGTACTTTTGATATCCTGAACTTAGCTGTCATTGAAAAGTGCTGTGTCTCTGCAGTTTTGCATATCAAATTTGTAAAACTAACAATAAAATCATTTACATAGCATACAGTAGTAGAATTTAACAGAGAGCACCCCTCTTCTCTCTGCAGAACGGCTGACAGTATTCCAACTTATTGCTTCATCAGAACAAACTGAGACAATCTGAACTCTCAATGAAAAAGCAGTAGCAGTGAAGGTACTGGCTGGCCACCTGAAGCCTCTGAGGTGGTTTACAGTAAGTTTTGTGCTCTGCTCCAAGGCCACTACAAGAGTTATTTCACAAATACAGCAATTAAGACCATGAAATACAGGGCGTACTGGTAGTAGCAGCAATGGGGAGTGCAATCTGCCAGTCATATATGGAAGCAGAAGTAAGGGGATGGAAAATTGCATCACTATAATTAAGTAAATACAGCCCTCTCTAGACTACTGCATACAACTGTTAAACTTTATGGAAGGTTTAAAGCATCGGTCTTTTAGGCAACAAAAGGGAGAGAAAACTGACCTTTAATCTTCCAAATACCAAGAACTGGGGTTAAAGATATGCTGTCATAAAACCAGTGGGTGTTCCTTCTTTTCCACCAAATTACTTTCTAGATGTTTGGAAAGAAGCAGCACCCTGTTTTTAATAAAACAGAGAGAAATACTGGTGGCTGGCACATGTATTGCCCTTGAATTTGAAACCCAAAAATTTGTGCTCCAGCCAGCATTGTGCCACTTGGTGCAGGTTCACGCACCAAGCTCTCTGTAGCTTCTAGGCCATGCTAGCTTGCTCTTTTTGCAGGCCACACACAGAAGCAAGTCTAAAAGAACTGATAAGGAGACCCTTTAGGAGTGCCTCACGTACCAGATGTAGCTAATGGCAGCAGCTGGCTGCCATTAACACAGTATCTCTATGAAAGGGTAGGATAAGAACTTTTGATCTCCATAAGAATGTTCAGTTTATAATAGCTCCTCTTCAATATCATCTTAGTATGTTTTGTATGTTGCAGAAACCTAGTTTTTGTATTTCAAAGCCTGGTTTTCCCCCTGAAGTCATGAGAGAGAATCACTGTTATACTGTCTTGGAGAGTGATGTGCTGCTTGGGTGAGCTATTCATTTTTCCAAGCATATCTTCAGGATGTCAGATTTTCAGGTGTTCCTCTTAAGACTGAAGGGATGCACTTAAGCATCAGTTCTTTTTGTGCAGAGGTAACATGACTTATCAACCCTCCAATCTGTTCTGGTGCATTAGTTCATCATAAGGAACAAAATCAGTAGAGATGCAGAAACAACTCCAGCAGTTCTTGAAATTGTGCACTATTTGCTGACCCTGACTATTCCACATTTTGGGAGTCGTCCAGCTGCATCTCCTGCAGAGCTCTGCCTTCCTGCCCACTGTTTTTTTCCTCCAGTTCCTTCAGGGTCTTCACCAGTGATTCTACACGTGTGTGGCTCTCCACAAGCTTCTCCTTCAGCTAGAAAAAAAAGAGAGAACTAAGAGTATTAAGTCTACAGAGAAACATCCTAACACTGGGTCTCTGAATGATCTGTACCCCACCTGCAGTGGTTGAAGAGCAGTTGACTTTCAAGACAGAAAATTACACTGGGCTTTAATCTCTATACTGCATGTCTAGTACAGCCAAAACTGGCACCCAAATCAGGCCTGTGCTACAGGAAGACAGATTAATGTGTGGCAGCACAGCCCTTTCAGGGATGAGGAAATACTCAAGGAGACAGGTTGCTGGAGCCTTTTCACAATCAATCCAATATTCCCTAACTCTTGTTTTTACACAGCCAGAGACATTCTTTGACAATATGAGGACAGACTGTTTCATCATTAGCTTAGGAAAACAGGTGGACAGTCCTTCAAAAATGCCGTTTTAAGTTAACACATCAAAAGCACAAGAGGAAAATCCTGCTGACATTGTGTCTCAAAAAGCAAAGACCAGATTCTTGCTCTTGTTCTACTCAACAAGCAAACTCCCCACAGTTACACGATCTGTGTTTGCAATCAAGTACTACTATTGTTTTACTTCAGAATAAAGTGTCTCAACTTTAAAAGTCTTTCCTGGATAGGATTTTTGCATTTTAGCCTCTCTTGACCTATAAAAACACTGATCTTACAGTCAGACACTGGAAGATGACTTTAAAGAGGGCAAAACTTCAGAAATGCCATGGGCCCATTTCCATGCTTAGAACAGAAGCTGAAAAGAAACAAGTTAATGTGAATACTAAATACATGTGAATACTGGATACACTGTCTTGTCTCCTACACACAGTAACTCTGAGCTACGGGACAGGCAATTTACTAAGACAACAACTAACCAAGTTACAGAAAAACATCCAATTTAAACACTTCTTTTCAAAGTACAGGAATAAAAGGATAACACACTTCGGAAGAAAACAGAACTGGATATGTTTTGGAGATAAGTGGTTCTAGAAAATGTTTTGCATGTCTTACACATTTAAGTCAGTCACTGTGTTATAAGTCAGTATTTCCTCCATCTTGTGCACTTAAAAAGTAATTGTATCAATATTTTTGGACTTATATGTATAAAAAAAAATCCTTTTTAATATTTTCCATACAAATTAATGTAGAAACTTTACTTTCTGCAGTCGTTCCCGTAAGGTCTCAGAAGGAAAAATCATATTAGAAGCTTCTACTATCATTTGGGATTTCAAGATGTAACTGGAAAACAAAAGGAGAAACAACACAAAGAAAAGCAGTTAAACACCCATAGTCGAATTAAAATCATAGAATGGTTTGGGTTGGAAAGGACCTTAAGATCATCCAGCTCCAACCCCCCTGCCATGGGCAGGGACACCTCACACTAAACCATGTCACCCAAGGCTCTGTCCAGCCTGGTCTTGAACACTGCCAGGGATGGAGCATTCACAACTTCCTTGGACAGCCTGTTGCAGTACCTCACCACCCTCACAGTAAAGAACTTCCTCCTTATATGTCATGGTTTAAGCCCAGCTGGTAACTCAGAACCACTCAGCCACTTGCTCACTCCCTCTGCTTCCTTCTCCCCCCTCTCCCGGAGGGATGGGGAGGAGAATCGAAAGGATGTAACTCCCACGGGTTGAGATAAATACCTCTTTGGTCAGTTTGGGTCAGGTGTCCTGTCTCTGCTTCCTCTCGGCTTCCCCTCCCTCCCTGGCAGAGCATGAGGCTCACAAAGTCCTTGGTCAGAGTAAACATTACTGAGTAGTAATTAAAAACATCGGTGCTATCAGCACTGTTCCCAGGCCGAAAGCAAAAACACAGCACTGCACCAACTACTAAGGAGAAAAATGACTGCTACTGCTGAACCCAGGACAGTATCTAACCTGAGCTTCCCCTGTTTAAGTTTTAACCTGTTACCCCTTGTCCTATCACTACAGTCCCTAATGAAGAGTCCCTCCCCAGAATCCCTATAGGCCCCCTTCAGATACTGGAAGGCTGCTCTGAGGTCTCCACGCAGCCTTCTCTTCTCTGGGCTGAACAGCCCCAACTTTCTCAGCCTGTCTTCATACAGGAGGTGCTCCAGTCCCTGATCATCCTCGTGGCCTCCTCTGGACTTGTTCCAACAGTTCCATGTCCTTTTCATGTTGAGGACACCAGAACTGCACACAATGCTCCAGGTGAGGACAAGAGCAGAGCAGAGGGGCAGGATCACCTCCTTCAACCTGCTGGTCACACTCCTTTTGATGCAGCCCAGGATACAGTTAGCTTTCTGGGCTGTAAGCGCACACTGAAGCCGGCTCATGTTCATTTTCTCATCAACCAACACCCTCAAGTCCTTCTCCACAGGGCTGCTCTGAATCTCTTCTCTGCCCAGCCTGGAGCTGTGCCTGGGATTGCTCTGACCCAGGTGTAGGACCTTGCACTTGGCTTGGTTGAACTTCATTGTTTAGATGGATTATTTAGGATTATTTTAAAGCAGATACAAAGTTGTTGCCAAAAGAAGTCAATGCACTATGAAAAGATTAAAAATGTAACAATGGTTTTACTTGGAAATCATAAAATCCTCTCATCACCAACTATAAGTAATTTACATTTACTATAGTTAAGTCTTTAATCTATCATGGAACTACTTTGACACCTTACGTTAGCTGCGTGAATCTGGAAGTGAAGTAGATTTCAGTATTGCAAACACATAAATTTAAACCTCAATGTTACATGAGGCCACTGAAGTCAAATGGAGTCAGGCCAACACCGACAATTAAAAAAAGAGGATACTAAAACCCCACATTAATGCACTTGGTCAAAAAAGAGCTGTAGATTAGTTGTACAGCCTGTTGTAATGACTTACAAACTGCCATGAAATCACTGACCATAAGAACAGAGCATGCTCACCAGAGGATGCTGTCCTTGAAGAAAGAGAAGAAGCCTCGCAGGTACGCCAGCTCCCTGGAGGCAGAATAAAGAATAAAGCCCACGACCAAGCCACACGACTGACAGGTCAATCTGTTGTAAGCACTAAAAGGAGCAAGGGGAAAACAGTATTAAAGAGAAGCTTCTGAAACCATACATAGAGCACGCTTGTGAGAGGAGAGCAAATCTGCAGTTCTACTAGGACAGCAAACCGAGGCATAATAACGCTTTCTCCTTAAGGAGACACTACATACAAAGGGAACATGAATGTAAAACGTTTGGGCACGTTGTGCAAGACATAATCTCTGTAATAAATGAAGTTGCAATTAAGGAAGAAAATAGATGTCTTATTACCACAGAGTGGTTTAGGCTATATTAGTCAAACAAGATTTAACTAGTAAAACACCACCTGTGCCAGATCATAGATGCAGCATTTCCTCCTGATAAAACAGATTATTGCCTCATACAGAGAGAGAGGCAGAAAAAAAAAAGGAAAAATTAAAAAGTAAGTCTTATATTTTAAAAGTTCCTGGGCCCTATAATTAGTGAAATACCCTTTAAATGCCATGTGAACAAACTACAGGTTCTGTAAGTCCTCAGGTGTCATTTACAGCCTTTGCATCAGACTCATCCCAGTTACCAAGCCTGTTACTAACTGTAGGCTTGTGAACAGAGTAGAAGTTAATAATTTTCAGTGTGTATATATATATATACATACACTGTGCTTTTTTATACATATGTATATAAAACATAGTGTGTGTGGATATATATATATATATAAAACAACGAACAACTAAACCCCGAAGAGAGATGTTTTAATTTAGGTAACAGACTTTCAGGGGAGCAGCGCCCTACAGGCCAGGCTGCCTGCTCAAACGCTCCTCTCCACCCAGGGCAGCAGCGAAGCCCACACGAAAGCTGCACCTTCAGAAGCTCCCTCGCTCCGCAGTGGGTGAAACACGGCTACGAGCGGCGTTCCGCATCTTACCCACCCCGCAGCACACTCCAGCCCGCTCAATGCCCCGCGGCGGCAGCTCCTGGCAGGCCGGTGCCCGGAGAAAGCAGCAGGCGAGCTACGCACCAACCGAGCAGGGGTCCCTCCAGGCCGATCGTGAGCGAGTCCTCCCAGATCACGTCCTTTGTGACTCCTGAGGAGAAGAGACGGACCCTTGAAACCCGGACCCGCCGCACCAACCGCCCGCCGGCACCCCCCGCTCCCTCAGGGCACCCCCCGCCCGCGGCGGGCACTGACTGTAGCAGACGAGGAGGCCGAGCTGCCCCTCCTCATGCGCGCACAGCTGCAGCGAGTCGCTCAGCACCGCCCAGCAGCCGCGGCACTGGAACGTGGCGCACGGCTCCAGCACCAGCCCCTGCCGCAGGGGTAGCGACTCCAGCGAGGCGGGCTGCGGCGAGGCGGGCTGCGGCGAGGCGGGCTGCAGCGAGGAAGGCTCCGGCGAGGAAGGCTCCGGCGAGGAAGGCTCCGGCGAGGAAGGCGGCGACACCTGGTCCGGTGCGGCTGCTACGGGCGACGGCTGCCGCTCCATCACGATGGCACCGCCGAGCTGCGAGTCGCGCATCAGCTCCTGCAGCTGCTGCCGCACCGCCATCTTCTCCCGCCTCGCATTCGAGCCCTCGCCCACCTTCCCAATTGGAGCGCGCTTCACGGGTCCGCGCTGCCATTGGTCAATGCTTGAGTCAATCCTCATCGCCTGAGACTATTGGGAAGTGGGCAGCACCGGGTCATTCTGTTGCCCAATCACGCGGGGAGGGCGGGGCTTCCTTTCACTTGGAGAGCCTATCGCGTTTGAACAATCCACGCACCCTCCCATAGCCGAGCCGCTTTTGGTGGTTTCCCTGCCCTTAGTCTCAACCCCTTTGCCTCACCCAGCCAATGGCATGGCGCGGAGGGCAAGTTTGAACGGCGGGGGCGGGCGCGGGCTGAGTCAGTTGGGCGCGAGGTTTGAAGCGCGGCGGTTGAGGCGGTCTCCGCTCGCCGCCCTGCCCTGCCTTGCCATGGCGTCGTCTCCGCTGCGGCAGCGGCTCGAGGAGATGAAATACGTGGAGCTGCAGCGGATCGCGAAGGCCGCCGGGCTCAAGGCCAACCTGCGGGTGAGGGCGGGAGCAGCGCGTCCTGAGCGAGGGGTGGGCGGGGAGGGGGAGCTCCGGATTCTCGCTCTCCCCCTAAAGAGCGACCCCGGCGATGGGGCTCCCGCACTGCCCGGCCGGGAGCTGAGGGAGCGGCTGTCGTGCAGGGAACACCCCCGTCCCCTTTGTTCCTGTTATGGGTACTGCTCTGGTGGGGTCGCTGCCCGGGCCCGCGGGAGCGGTGGCAGCTTCGTGTTAAAGCGTCCCTTCCTCCGGGAGAAGGTCCCGGCCGTTGGCTCCCTCCGCGGGGTGAGGCGCTGTGCCCGGGTGCCTTCCGGACGGGCACAGGCCCAGAGGAACAGCTGCTTTTGCTGGCTCCGTTTACTTGGAGGGGTTAAGGAGGGGACGTGCTCTCTGCCCATGGGCTGGGGCACCGCGGGGTTCACCCGCGGCAGGTGGCTGTGGTTTGGGTTCATTTTGTTTGTTTAAGTCTGGGAAGAACAACACCACTAGGGTGCTGTGAGGGATGAGGTGCGTGTGTTTGTTTACCGGCTGTGGTTAAGAACGAGGGATTTAAGCGCTCACCGGTGTTTAGAGCCACACGGTGATGCCCGTGCCCTGCCTCCCCTGGTGGGTACCTCACCGGCGGCAGTCACTGCGGCACCGCCGCTGCGGGAAGGCAGAGAGCCTTAAAGAAGGGGTTATTGTGCTGCCAGGACAAAAGCTCCACCCAGGGCTTTTAGCTCTGGGGGTTGGAACTGGATGATCTTAAGGTCCTTTCCAACCCTAACTATTCTATGATTCTATGATTTGGTTCTTGAGCCTCTAGTTCTGGTTTGATTTTATGCTGACCTTTCCCAAGAGTCTTTCATAGTCTAAAATGTCAGCAGCACAGTTTTGTTGCATTTTACTGCTCGTAACTGTTGAATAGATGCAAGGGGTGAGAAGAATAATGCTTTGCATGTACTTTGAGGGAGAAAGCAGTTTGTGCAGATATTTAATACATGCTCGGTTATGCAGTGCTGCTAAAACCAGTCTCATTCATCCCTGAATAATTAAACTTCCTGGAAAACAGGCAACCAGGAATAAAGCTGGGCAGGGAAAACTCTCTTTGTGTCTCTGGAGAATATGCTACTTATTTATCTGAGGCCTTAAGCACTTTCATTGAAAATCATCAAATGGTTTTGGTTGGAAGGGACCTTAAAGGTCACTTAGTTCCAACCCCCTGCCACAGCCAGGGACACAATTTGACTGACTTGGATGAAGTTTAGTCTTCCATTGGATCCAGGAACTGTTCTGCTTGTTTGCTGGATCAATTATAGGACACTGGCTGGGTTTATGCAATGTTTTGTTTGATGATTCAATGTGGTATTTGGTTCACATGTTGTCTGGTTTCTTTCCAGGCAGACAAACTGTTGAAAGCACTGAAGCAACACTTAGATGGAACCAAACAAGAAAGTGCAGATATGGTAAAGGATGATAAATAGACCATTTTTATTAAGAGACAGATCTAACTGTGACTAATAGAACAGGGCATGCACTGAAAGTTAACTTTTACCATGATAAGAACTGTAATAAAAATACTTTTTTTCTTCATGATGCCTTCAGTTTAATACACTCTGGTACTGATGGGAACAGATGTGCTGATGTTAGCTTTAAGTGGCCTCCTATCTACCCAAAGCTGATTTTGTTTCAGCTGCCAAAATGAACAATGTATTTTTCGGCATCAGTACAAAGTTATTCTCTGTGAAAACCAACATTTACATTTCCATTGAGCAGATATTAACTCTTACCTTTGTGAATGCAGGTGGTAGTCAGTACCAAATGTAAACATATTTAGTCTTACATGCCTAGATCGAAGGAATTAGATATTCATTGGAAAGCATTTTGCATTTACTACAGTTTACTTACACTGACACTATAATGAGAGTGATACAATTGTTATGTTTCCTTTATTTGTCTCTTCATGTATTGGTTTCTCTTTTAAGTTTTCTGTAAACTGAATCATTGGCTATGGTGATGGCTTTTAAGTTTCTGATCGCAAGTAAATTGGTATTTGCTTTTTTTAAATAGAATCGTTGTGAGCTTATTTTTAACTATAACAAGTATGGAGGTGCCTCTGAGCGTTCCTTTTGGTGAAGAGCATTCTACAGAAACATGAATCTGGGAGGGTCACAGCATCCTGCAGTCAGATTCTAAATATAAAGTGTTAGTCTTCTAGACTCTTACTAAAATATTCTATAATAAAATGACTCTAAGCCTTCTTTTTAAAGCCTTCAAATAATAGGCTTTGATATTTCAGGAAGCCTAGATAGTGCCAATTTCTTCATCACTACACTGTTAGATGCATGCTACTGCTTTTCCTCTATGTGAAATACTTCTTCCAATAATAAAATGGAAACTGTCTCTTTCATCTGTTCGTGTCAGATGTTCCACATTACAGTATTTTTCTGACACAGGACTCTGAAAAAAGTGTACCTAGTCTCATCAAATCAGATGAACTGAACAATGAGGAGGAAATGATGCCTGATTCAGTGGCCTTTATTACACGAAGATGTGGTAAAGAAAAGAAAGTAAACAGAAAAAAGAGGAACTCCGCTGAGGATATTAATACCAGTGAAGAAAATGCAGAGCTTTCTCAGGAGAAAGAGGTGATTCACATTGTTTGGCTTTGTGTGCTGACTGTCCCCTTCCCACAACATGATGTAAACTCACCATTTAGCAGGTGGTATAAATGTTATATATCTGTGTCTGTGTGTGTACATATATAAGACTTTTGTATGCAAGTATTCTGGTCCTGGTTTTCTGTACTTTGTAGTACTGATTTTGTCTGACTGTGCTATTCTGTAATGTACAGAGATTACTCACTAGTCACGGAAGTAAATTAAATTCCTCTAAGAAAGAAATGACATTTCAGACCCTTCACTTCATTATAGTGTTCTGAACATTAGACTAGTTTCAGAATTTACCTAAAAATAAAGCTGTTCTCTCTTTATATAGAAAAAAAGTTACCAGGAATTGGATGATTGCCTAAACCTCATAATCTTTAACTCCCACTCCTCCCAGTGGGTTCTTTATTCATGGCTTGTATGGCTGAGAGAGGGGAAGACACAGTGTGAGATGGGGTGGAATTGCTTTCCTTTAGCATTACATGCAATTAATGGGTGAGCTAAGAACCATGTGAAAGAACTTTTCCTGATTTAGAATGACAGAAGGGAAATAAGAAATGGGGAGTGTTAATCTGTCAGTGTTAGAGACTTGTACAGTAACCACAGCTACAATAGTAAAAAAGTAACATAGCCAGGGAATTAATTTTTACTTGCAAACAATTGGATTTGTCAAGAAGGTAATTTTATACTAACATGTTAGAGCTGTGCAGGTAAAAGCTTCCTAATATAGTTCTTGTTAAATAACAGGGTATTTCACAGGTTAGTTCAGGTTGGGCTTCAGAAAGTCTCTTGCTCAGTCTCCCAGTCAAAGCAGGGTCAACTATGAGGTTAGACCACAATGCTTAAGGCTTTATCTAATCTTATATAGAAAACCCCTAAGGATGGAACCTGTTCCACTGACTGCTCTCAGAACAACAGCTCTTCTTTATATCCAGCTGGAACAAAGTATTTAAATGAAGTATGTTTAAACTGCAGGTGCATTTGGAAATGAAAGAAAATGAGGTGCCTCGGGGTGAGCAAGGAAAGGGACAGAAGGTATTCCAAACTGAGGAACACGTAACTAAAAAGAGAGCTACTGAGAGCACAGGGATAGGTACTGCTCGGAAAGAACAGCCGAAGAGGACTTCTACTAAAATTGCTGGCGGTGAATGTAAGTAGGATATTCCGAAAAGGAAGTTTAATGACTTGTACTACTTTAAATGTACCCTTGGTTATTTTGTTGTGTCTGCAAAGATTGCTGTTGGCCTGTCTGGTGATCAGCACTTTATCTGAGGAGACCAGGAGAAAGATAACGATTTTTGTTTGATCTTACTATCTCAGGTAATGTTCTTCAGGCAGGAGGGAAGATCCCTGTATATGCAGGCCGTGCATCTAGGTCTGGGAAAAAGGGAACCAAAGCTACTACACCAAGTAAGCTACCCTACCACCTTTAGAAATAGATGCGCTGTGTGTGTGTGGTTTTTTACAACCCAAATTCTATTTCTGTCTGAAGAAGAAACCATTTTCTCTTTAAAAAGCAAGCAAAGAAAAAAGTTCTTAACAGTTACACTTTGAGGTTTATCTGCCAACTTGTAAGTTCATAGTAATAAATGACTCGCATGTATGTTATAAAACTGGTTATCGACCACTTAGGTGTCTTGGATCTAATTCATGATTATCAAAGCACAAAGACCAGGAAGATGTGCTGTTACACCTGCTTGTTTAATTTTACTTTATAAGCACCACCTTTGGGCTGCATTACTGTGTATTAGCTCACTTTCATCACTTCATAAAATACATTAGTTTGTTTAAAGTATGGAAGTATCTATATTTTTTATTTAACTGCAGAATGTGGTGGTTGGACCAGATGATCTTTAAGGGTCTCTTCCACCCCAAACCACCCTGTGATTCTGTGATTCTCCAGAGCATGCACCAGCTCTCTGGTGATGTAGCTGTAGAGGTAGATTCTATTTCATACTGTTTAGTTACCTGGGTATAGCTGACCTTCAATTAGAGGGTTATGTTATATTTTTCTGTATCAGATACGTGACTCTTCTTCTTTTTGGAACTTCTTAGACTTCAAGAAGTTGCATGAGGCTCACTTCAAGAAAATGGAATCAATTGCTGACTACATTGAGAGGAAAAATAAAATTATTGAAACCTGCAGCAGTTCTGCCAATGAAGTCAAGGTAAGTGACAACACTGGAAGATACACATTGTTCCCCTATCCACTGATTTCCAGAGTCTCCCTGTAAAAGCCTTGTAGAGTCTCTTTAGAGGAGTAAATACATGCAGTGTAATGTGACGGTCAGTGAAGTTTAACTGCAGTCCTATATAACTAGTTATAGATAGCTATTATGTGGTCATAAGTTTATAGATATTAACAGTGTATGGTTATAGTTACAGAAACCAACAAGTAACTTGTCAGTTCTGAGTAAAACCTAATTCTTTCACGATTACTGTCCTGGAGCTTTTGTTTGCAACTGTCTGAATTGCTGCAGAGTCTAACCAAGGGGGTGGGTTGTTTTTCAAAGAGTAGGAGCTCAATATTAAAGTTCCTCTTTTGTGCCTTAAAGCACCATTGTCCAGTGACTGCATATGACTGTCCTTTAAAATACATGTGATACGTTGTTCTCGGTAGCCTTGATTCTCAGTTCTTCTGTTTCACACTTGCATGGGTGAAAGCTGCTAATGGGCCTCTTTGAGAGTGTCACTAATGTATCAATGAAGATATGAATAAATATGTCAATGGACATGGAATCATAGGATTGCTAGGTTATAAAAGACCTTTAAGATCATCAAGTCCAACCCTTAACCTTGCACTGCAAAAGTCCTTATTGAAACAGTAAACACTGAAACTCTTGAACTACATTTCTCTTTCTAAGCTGTGCATTGTAACAACATATGCTTAAGACAAATTACTGTTGGCAGGTGCGGACCAAAAAATCAAGTAACTTACGAGCATCAGAAAAAGGCACTCCTTACAGCACTTCTAAGGTATGTGTTTTCAGGTCAGTTTTATTAAAGTACTTATGTTTTAAAGAAAAGACAGGGGAAAACTGAGGAGACTGTGTCTATCTGATTCACTATTTTCCCTTCCTCTTAGCTGCTTTTCTGATAAATGTTTAGCAGTCTGTTAACTCAGGATTTGCTTTTCCTTAGAAACAAACCAGCAGCAAAACGTTCTTATTCAGCCCAAATCCAGAAAGAGGCAGAATCTCCACCACCTGCACCCCCAGTAACCGCTATCACTCACCACACAGTTCTCTGAACACCAGTCGGAGTATTTTATCCAAGAAATCGTCATTTAACCCTTCTGTCCTTTCAACAACCAAAATGAACGTCAGGTAAAAAGAACAAACCAAACCCACTAGTGAGCTATTTGGTGTGATAAGCATGAAATAATCAATGCTGTGATTTCACTTCATTACTTCCGTTCCAAGCGTTACCTACATGAAACTAATTCTGGTTACTAATGTTCAGCCCAGCTTAAACCAGCCTTACTGTGCTGTTACAACCATGTTTCTTCATTTTGACTTCTGGCAGAGGAATCTTGCATCTCTTTCACCTTTCAGTTTCCTAAACCAACTGAGCCTAATTATTTTTCATAATGTGTTTTCTCTCTTGTCAAGCAAGCTAATCATCTCTTATATCTGAATTCCTAATATTACTTCCTGCTATTAATGATGGCTCCTAACTTGAAAATTGCAGGTGAAGTTTTTATTGTGGTTTATGCAGAAGGTGTAAATATCTTTTATACTTTCTACCTGTAAGAAAACTAGAACACAGAACCTTCTGTGTTCTGTCATATTGCTTCTGTTCCTTGTAGATTACTAACTTTGTCTTTATTAATAACTTTCAGGTTCTCAGAAGCCACAAAAGATAATGAGCACAAACGCTCCCTTACCAAGACTCCATCTAGAATGTCTCCATACCTGCAGATGTGCACACCTGAGAGCCACAAATCAGCAAGTCGGAAAACCAGTGTAGGAAATGCAAGAAATAACAATTCAACTGCAGCAAAGGGTAAAGGCGAGGGCGAGTGTTTGGCTTTTTCAGGTCAAGACTTTACTGAATTATAATAATTTTTTTAATAATCTAATATCTATAATCTGTAGACCTAGGGTTTAATTTAATTCCTCATTTATGACTGATTCTTTAGAAACTGCCTAAGTTTCTTTACTAAGCAAGTTAGGTGCTAAGACTTAAACATATGGTACTAGCTACCTACAGAAAAGGGGATAAAAATAATCTTATAGGGACTGTAGGAGCTATGTAGCTAAAGGTTTGTTTAACAGGCACAGGGAGATCCTGTGTGTGACAAGAGGAGCCCCTGATGCCTTTCAGAGGTCTTGGTCTCCTTGTGGGTTTGATATGTACCAGGCTTCTAGCTGTGTTTTAAGACAACCTATTATCAGACTTACCAACCCTGAGTAACTTGGGAACTAAAGCTCTGTGAGAAAAAGCAGATGTTTGTTACTGATCTCTGCACTAGCACAGGTCTACTACCTAACCACTGATGTACCACAGGTATATTGACACAGGTCAAGAACCCAGAGTTGCCTGTCTTGCAGTATGATGATACTGATCTTTTTGGGGGGAAAGAAAACTCCCACCGCTGATGAAGCTGGTGTGTTCTAGAACACTTCTTGTTTTAATGGAGAAAACCACTTGGTTCCAAATAGGCACAGAGGCTGGCAAACACAGTTTGTCCTGAAGTACTAGAAAATCATGTGGAGGTATACGTGCAGGGGTTTGGAATGAGATAATCTTAAGGCCCTTTCCAACTCAAACCATTCTATGCTTCTATTGTACAGCACAATCAGAGCAAAAGGGCTAATACTCTATGGCTCCTCTCTCCAGACCTCAAAGCTGCCAATTCAAGTGAGCTGTATTTGTGCAACTCTGTTTTTAGAGGTAGCAGATGGTATCATTTAGTGGCTCTTCGGTGTTGATACTTATAAGGTGGTCTTCACACGTTCCTTCTGACTTGCTATGTCAGTGATGCTCTTGCTACTATAATGAAGTATGGTATTATCATGATGTATTTTGTAGCTCTCACCCCCTTCAAGTTCTCAGCTCACCCTGCAGAACCCACAAGCGCCAAGAAGACGTTTGATCTCAAAGCAAGTCTCTCAAGGCCACTTCCGTATCAGCCACATAAAGGTACTATGAACCTGCGCAGTTTGTGTCGGTCACATCCCTTCTACTCAGCTGCTTAAAAAGCATTCACACAAACCATGACAATGAAGTTTTCAGTCTTTTTTCCCCATTGTTTTCCCTTTCTCTCTGGGTTCCCACATAGTCTGTGGACTAACATTAGATTTCTACTTGACATACGCTTTAAGAGCCTCCCTATCGAATCAGAAACCTTTATGACCAAACGTCCGTAAGAATAAACATCCTTGTATTTTATTGTGTGTACAGGAAACATATTCCTCATACAATTAAGGTTATTTTTAGTTTAGTTTATTAAAGCATACTGTTGTGTGAGAAGCTTAACTTTGTGTGCTGAGTGTTGCTTTTAAGTACAGATACCTGCTACTACTTGTACAGAATGAGCAGGTGAAACTCATAGTATAGCTGAAGAAGTATTTCATCTTAGAGTTGACTAGCAAAAAGCACTCTAGCCAGTATAAAACGCACAACAAGAAGTTAAGCACACAACTACAAAACTAGTGATTCAATAGTATTTTTTTTTTTTTTCCTGAACTTGTAGGACGACTAAAACCTTGGGGAGAATCTAAAGAAAATACCGTTCCAAATAAGCCTGGCAACATCTCTTCATGTAAGAAAGACTACAAACAGCCCCGTCTTCAGACAAGGTTAGTACACCACTGGCTTTCTTTGAATATTGTTACTTAAATTAATATGGTGACTCCTTTGTCTTTTTAGGATTTAAATATGCAAAGAAAGCTTTTGTATTAGTGATCTTTGCCTCCAGTAGTCTAGTATCAGGGAGGCCAACAAAGAGGGCAGCTCTGAAGCTGACAGGCTCTTATTCTATGAATGCTACTGGCTCTAGGATTTGAAGTTTTGCCTTCCCCTTGGAGGAAGCTGTGAATACTGATGTGCTGTTACCTTGAATGTTAGACCTGTATATCTAAGCAGAAGTCTTTGCTTCAGTGTCTGAAATCAGTCCAAACCAGCACTGCTCTGCCTGCTATCGGCAAACACAACACATTGGTTTAATGGATGCTAGGCGTTGGTCAGATTCCTTTGCTTGCTTCTGTGTCTGCCTTAACATAATTTCATGTGGTCTGTCTCTTTTTCCCCTTCAGGGAAGAAAGGCGGGAGAAACATGAGCAAGAGAGAAAGAAGAAAAAGGCTAAGGTTCTTGAAAACCGCAGAGGAATATCTGTGGGTTAGGAATAAGAAATATCTAAGCTATTACTGTAAATACTAGTCTTGTCATGTAAATATCTGTGCTGTGTGTGTAGTTCAGCTTGCTATTAGCTAGTAGAATCCAGAGAGCAGCGAGTAAGACTTCAAAGTGCATCTGAGCGTAATGTTTCAGTGATCAACTTCTCCAATTTGATGAGAGTTCTAAACTTTAAGGAGCTTATAACTATCTCTATTTGCCTCATGTTTTCCTTTAACCAAAACATGTTAAAGGAGAAAATGTAAGTGGAGGGGGGAAAGATGCTCAGGAAGTCTCCTTGCAACTTAAGCCAGACTTCACCTGAATGCATTTGTTACTGCTAGATGCATGCTTTGGATAGCAAGCCTTAAAGTCTTCTATTGGCAAACTACAATTAATTCAAGCCCCTTTCTCCAAATCAATCTTCCAATCCTGTGACAACAGTGACAGCAGTTATTCAGTGTTCCTCATTGCCTATGAGGTAGTAGGGAATTTCCAAGAGCTAAAACATGCAACTTCTCTGGAAAACTGAACACAATGTATTAAAGTCACAATTAAAAGGGGGCTTTACAAATGACCAGTGTAATACTTTGAACAGTCTATGTTTTGTTCCTGTGCTAAATAGCAGCTGTTAACAGAATTATTCTGCTTTTCATCTCTCTGCTGCTTAAAAGAGGTTACAGTAGTATTAAGGCACTTTCAGTATGTTAGATTTAAAAGCTGTTATTTTTACTTTTAAAAAATACATAGAGCTGTCTGGATTTATGATGGAACTGGAAAGGTACTTCAGCGGCTTTAATCTCAGCTACACTCCTGCGCCAATAATTCTCAGTGAATTTAGTGTCCTATTGAATATATATTGAAATGTCAAGAACAAGCAATTGTTTGTTTTTAAAAAACTTAATGTGGATAATAAATGTTTTGTACATATTCTGTTTATCACTGATTCTATCATCTAATGTATTACATGTAACTACCCCCTTAGTGTAGCACTAGTCTTGTTCGCACTTTTTTACTGCTCAACCTCTTTTTGTGACAAGTTTTCCTCACCAATGAGTCTGCCTATGACTTTATGAAATCACAAAGTGCTTCCATAAAGCATTTCGTTTGTCCTGGTAGCTTTAGAAATAACAACTATCACTCCTCTTCTGGTTCTATGCAAGGGGAAAATGATAGTACAAGACACTGCTTCAGCTTGCCCTTATGGTGGCCTCCTCCATATAAAATATAGGTATGTTTAGTATTTGCTAAGTATACTAAAGGTCACTGCAGCAGAGGTCAGTGCTTTGATTAGACAAGTTTATGATGAGTGAAATGGAACAATTCACACTTGTTCTTTGAAGTGTTTGCCAGGTCACCCAAAACCAGACTTCTCAGAAAGGCATTGAACCTCTGCCACCAGCTGCACCTCTAACTTCTCCCGGTACAGGCATGTTAATTGCTCAAATCAGACATACAAAGACTCTCATAAAAAGACAACCTATAGCTCCCTGAGGAGAGAAGAGGAATGGGGGCTTCCCCCAACCCCTCCATGGAGCACTACTTCTGTTCAGCAACTTCAGCTCGGGCAACTTGTAGGATTATCATCACCAGCTTTAAATCAGAAGGCAAGCCTGCTGCACAGCTACTGCTTCAATCTTGGCAGGGGCAGCTTTTTCTTTTTTTAGTTATTCAGAGAAGCCAAAGCTGAAGGTTGAAATACTTCTGCTTCTTCCACTTTTGGGGCTGCTCTCTGTACGTTTCAGCACTGAGTCCCGCACTTAAGCACCATTCCTCAGGGTATTAATTCTCCTCATACTTTTTCCAGTTTAAAACTAATGGATACAAGTGTTTTACAATGTCCACAAACCACAGAAGGTAGAAAATGAAATTGTCAAAGAAAGCAAAACTAAACAAACAAACAAAAACCTTCAAGAAGCTTGTGGAATACTTTTATTTCTGTTAAGGTCAGGACAAAAGCTAGAACTTACCCAGTCACCAGTTCCTACTGGGTCACCCTCTCCTCAGGCTGTATTCCAGTCCATGTATGTACAGTCTCTCCAGGATCCTGTGTCTGGTAGCTTGAAGGTGCCAACAGTGTCACTGTAATGTTTACTTAGAATCTTCAAGCTGTGATAAGCCACACCTTCAGAAATGTTTTATAGAACTAAAGCAGCTGAAGACTGTCCCAAAAGCCACCTGCCCAGCTTAGAGTGGAGGATTCTTTTCATATGTTTCATAGGCAAATTCTTCTGTATGAGCTCTATCATTCCACAGACCAATAAAATCAATTTCCAACTGGAACGGACCATTTACTTTATCTCCAATAGTGAATCCCAGGGTACTAATCTAATTAAAAGATACATGCATTAGAACAGTATATATAACATTACAAGCAAACACAGTTGTATCTACCAAATTTGTATTTTACAATTCATGGCCATAGAATCATAGAATAGTTAGGGTTGGAAAGGACCTTAAGATCATCAAGTTCGAACCCCCCCTGCCATGGGCAGGGACACCTTGCCCTAAACCATATTACCCAAGGCCTCATCCAACCTAGCCTTGAACACTGCCAGGGATGAAGCATTCACAACCTCCCTGGACAACCCATTCCAGTGCCTCACTACCCTAACAGGAAAGAATTTCCTCCTTATATCCAATCTAAACTTCCCCTGTTTAAGTTTTAACCCATTACCCCTTGCCCTACCACTACAGTCCCTAATGAAGAGTCCACCCCCAGCATCCCTATAGGCCTCCTTCAGATACTGGAAGGCTGCTATGAGGTCTCCATGCAGCCTTCTCTTCTCCAGGCTCAACAGCCCCAACTTTCTCAGCCGATCTTCATACGGGAGGTGCTCCAGTCCCCTGATCATTCTCGTGGCCCTCGTCTGGACTTGTTTCAACAGATCCATGTCCTTTTTATGTTGAGGGCACCAGAACTGCACACAATACTCCAAGTGAGGTCTCATGAGAGCAGAATAAAGGGGCAGGATCACTTCCTTTGACCTGCTGGTCACGCTCCTTTTGATGCAGCCCAGGATATGGTTGGCTTTCTGGGCTGCAAGCGCACACTGAAGCTGGCTCATGTTCATTTTCTCATCGACCAGCACCCCCAAGTCCTTCTCCGCAGGGCTGCTCTGAATCTCTTCTCTGCCCAGCCTGTAGCTGTGCCTGGGATTGCTCCGACCCAGGTGTAGGACCTTGCACTTGGCATGGTTAAATTTCATGAGGTTGGCATCAGCCCACCTCACAAGCGTGCCTGCTTCATCTGTTCAAAGTGCAGCAGCATTTCTGAAGGCTTGAACATTTCACTGTTGTGCTTCCACACAGCTCCCAGTGGGACAGTACTTCACATCTCCCTTTCTACTGTGTAGAGCCCTGTATTAGAGACAGCCTAAGCCTAAAGTAACACTGCAATTTTTACCCCTCAAGGTTTGTGTGTGGCCAGTTTCATCATGATTGGGTGTACAAACACGTTTTCATAAAGCCTGTTACAATCTTTCATGAGGTGGAAACACAGAGTATAATTGAGGATGGAAGGTAATGTTCAGTCTGGATCAAGTCCTACACCCGATATAGCGTGGAAGTGCACCACACCAGACGTTTTAAAATGCACAAATCTTTACTACCAAGTTCTACATTAAGGCAAGGTTCTTAGGCACTCTTTCCCAATTAGAATAAGGTTCTTAAGAACATTCCTTATTCCTTTCCCCTAATGGTCTCCCCCACCACTATTAAATAACAGAAGGCATCTGAACTCCCTGCTCTGTATAGTCTATTCCCCTGCAAGCCCACAACATGTTGGCTATTTCCTGACTGTATTTCTGCTTAAGAACGCCTTTCTTGGTTCCTGGGAAAACACAACAGCAGCACCATGAGGGACCAAGGCATGTTATCAACATTTTGATGCCTTCCCACCATTTCCCTATTTTCAGGTTTTTTTAACATATATTTGTACAACTGCACTTAATAATATATGCACAGGTTTTACTGTGAAATATTAAACATAAGGCAACAAGGAATCAAAAGTAAGTAGAAGATGCTTAGATCAAGCACTGTTCTGTTCCTTTAACTCCAGGTAAGTATGCTTAACACCCCACATATGGCTTGGTTTTCATTTACATTTTGAATGAATCTATATTCTAAATCCTGATAAAGTCTTCAGTGTCTTTATTTAAACACAGGCCTTTTATAACAGCTTTATTCCAAAAGCCCATTTTTAGTTTTAGTTGATCCACCTCCCTCGCATCATCCATACTTTCTTCCTACAGCCTCAACTTCTGGTTTAGAACAGATTTTTTTCAAGCTGTTAATCACTGAATTGCCCTCAAAGTTTTCCCAATTTGTTTGCTTTTGTTCTTTCATTACACAATTAGGAACCAAATGCAACATTATCATCGAATCGCAGAATGGTTTGGGTTGGAAAGGACCTCAAGATCATCTAGTTCCAATTCCCTGCCATGGGCAGGGATGTCTCACATTAGACCACGTCAGCCAAGACTGTCCAACCTGGCCTTGAACACTACCAGGGATCGAACATTTAACTAACACAATTCAAGTAATGGGCCTTTTATTTTCTCCCCATGTATATGTCTAACATTGTCTGTTTTCCTGTTGGTAGTCACTGGATATTAAGCTGCCCTCGACTACATAGAGAAGGGTCACTGAATTTTAAGAGATAAAACACTGTTTTCCAATGTCTTCCATGAATCAGGGAATTAGTTTACTTATTTGCACAAAGCAAATAAAAAATACCACATTTATTTAATATTTAGACTAGTATTAAGGCCCCCAAAACTAAAAAAGAGCCTACAAATCTATGCATTTACTAATCACCATCAAGGGCACATCCTCAAATAAAATCTCATGGTAGTCTTCTATTAGGAAGCACATTTACAGTACTTATACAGCCCAGTGCCAAGTGGCATTTGAGATTTCTCAGTCACTTTGATCATTCCTCAAAAGAACCTTACTAATCCTTTTCTTTCAAAAGCCAAGTGAGCTGTTTCTTGGTTATACAGATCTCTTAAAAATATTTTTGGAGCTTCTTTGAAGTAAATTGACACTGCTATCACAAAATAGGATAATGTAAATGCAAAGATGAGCATACAGGGTAAGTACTTTATAACAA